TCTCTCTTGTACGGCTCATTTGTCATTTTGTTTAACCGCACCGTGCCATCCTTCGACGACAATTTGAAGTGGGTTGAATGAAGGCCCAGGTCTGGTTTCTTTTTTTTGCTTAGTTTTTTGGTTGTCTGTAGCCTGGAAGGAACTGTTGAATAGAGGCACAGCCACCACTTGTTATTCTTGGGATTGCTGATTGGATAATTTAATGGCCAAAACAATTATAAATATTGACATTGTTTTATTCATGACAAAGCTAGCTTTGTCATTTGCCTTATATTTCTGCGAGCTCGCCTTCAAAATGGTCCATCAAAAACTCAAACCCAGACGTGTCAACGCTTTTAAATGCTGTCCTGGAGTAAACAAGGGATAAAATAGATGTCTGATCCCTCGTGTGGATGCACATGCAGAAGAAGATGCCTTTGTCTTCATAAATTTGTCAGAAATAGAACGCGGCTTCTCGCCCTTGCAATTCAAAACAGCTCCGTACAGTTGGATTAAATTTACAAGGTCCAAAATAGACATTCTTCCCAGAGATGAACAAACAGTACATTCACAACTAAGAGAAACTGGATGATTTGCCACTGCGCACTTAATGAGCTGTCACGGCATGGGAATTGTCGAAACACAAACTTTGAATCATTGTTCGCCTTCTGTCAACCTTGAATGTGCAGGAAATGTTTGATGCCTCTTTGAAAGATCGAGAGATGAGTTTCAAATCAGCACCCGGCACCACCATGTTCCTGCACTGGCTCGTTGGGATGGTCTACGTCTTTTACTTTGCTTCTTTTATTCTGCTTTTAAGAGAAGTAAGCCCGTTTGCAGCAGGTTATTCTTGGCCGGGGGAAAAATAGCATTTGTTAACTTTTCTTCCTCCCCACCTATTCATGTGTCAGGTGCTGAGGCCTGGAGTGTTGTGGTTTCTGAGAAACCTCAACGACCCCGATTTTAACCCAGTGCAGGAGATGATTCATCTTCCCATCTACCGACACCTGCGGCGCTTCATTTTGTCGGTGGTGGTGTTTGGTTCCATTGTGTTGTTAATGCTGTGGCTGCCAATTAGGTTGATTAAACTACTGATGCCCACTTTCCTGCCATACAACGTCATGCTCTACAGGTAACCAGCAGACTACAACATTTGTTGCGGTGTTTTTCGTTTGGACAAAATAGATCTTTTTACTTATGCCAGAGGGGAGAAATTGTTGTTCTCTTTTTATTTGAAACAAAATTAAGAAGTTGAACTGCAACCATTGTTTGTTGTTTTTTTTGTTTTGTTTGTTTTTATTTTCACATGCTCCTCCTTATGTTGGTGAAATGGCTTTTTCTGAACCTTTTTCCCTCAGCGATGCCCCAGTCAGCGAGCTGTCTTTGGAGCTATTATTACTTCAGGTTGTGCTGCCAGCTTTATTGGAGCAAGGGCATACTCGCCAGTGGCTCAAAGGCTTAGTTCGGGCCTGGACAGTCAGTGCCGGATATTTATTGTAAGTCCCAAAGCCAATGTCACGCTTCGGTGCTTTCAGCACCTTTTCATTTCAACTATGATTTGTTTATCTGTGCCTTCACAGAGATCTCCACTCGTACCTCCTTGGAGAGCAGGAGGACATTGATGCTAACCAACCCGTGAACAACAATAACAACCCTCCCCCGGGACACCAGAATAATAACAATCCCCCACCGGCGGTTGGCGAGGGCTTGCATGCGGCCCACCAGGCCATTTTGCAGCAGGGCGGGCCAGTGGGCTTCCAGCCATACCACAGACCTCTTCGCTTTCCATTCAGAGTGAGTTGAACCCATTTCTGCAGGGTTTTTTTTTTTAGTGTGTGTGCTGCTCCATAGCAGTTCCCCTATAATTAAGACAACAAGGAACATGTGTCAAATTGAACCTCAACTCAAGTTTTGCTCGGGAGGAAGAAAACTCCCTCATAATGTTCCTTCAAATTCACAAGGGTGTGGTTCCCAGTGGAGAAGCTTGTCAAGTATTTTTTATTTGATTGCAGTGGGTGTAGTTGATCTGTCCGTGTGTCCTCAACACTGACATCAACATTGTTACTCCTTCCTCTAGATTATGCTCCTGATAGGATTTATGTGCATCACCCTGCTGGTGGCTAGTCTTGTGTGCCTGACACTACCAGGTGAGAGATATAGTACAGATAGCATTTTTTTTCTCTCATCCGCGCCCTGACCAGAATTGAATCTTCTAGTTATAGACTTGTGTGATGTTTAAACAGCTCTATCTTTCAGCCTTCCTCTGCCAGGCCCAATGACCACCTTGAAGTTGCAATAATGAGGAGATAAACACATGCATCTATTTAATTCATTTTTGTCCCCAGTGTTCACCGGACGATGGCTGATGTCCTTCTGGACCGGAAGCTCCAAAATTCATGAGCTGTACACAGCAGCTTGCGGCCTGTATGTATGCTGGTTGTCCATCCGCGGAGTCACAGTGCTGCTGGCTTGGATGCCCCAAGGACGCACCGTCATTGTGCACAAAGTTCAGGAATGGACGTTCATGGTGGGTGTCAGGAAGGCGCATCTTGTATTTGCACCAACCTGAGTGTTGTGATAACAATTTTTTCCCTGGTAGCGGACATTCAAAATGTGGGTCCTACAGCAGCAGGCACTCAAAATATGGGTGTACAGTACTGTATTAGTAAACCTCAGCCCTGCATTTAGGAATACTTTACCTATTGTGCTTTTTAGAAGCAAGCTCATCATTTTAATAAAGCCATAATTGTTACTCCTTTGTTTGCTCATCCAACTTGAAACTTGTGTAGATTCTGAAAACTCTGGTTGTTGCTCTGCTGGTCGCTGGAGTCATCCCGCTGTTGTTGGGTCTGCTGTTTGAGCTGGTCATTGTAGCTCCCCTCAGGGTACCCCTGGATCAAACACCCCTCTTCTATCCCTGGCAGGTAATCTCCCTCGCAGGATTAAACGTATATCTATCATTTTTACTTTTCTTGTTCTTTTGGAGCAGAGCATCACGAGTACCCTGTGAATCATGCAAATTTGATCCCCCTGTTTTTCTGCAGGATTGGGCTCTTGGAGTGCTTCATGCCAAAATCATTGCAGCAATTACCTTGATGGGTCCTCAATGGTGGCTGAAAACTGTTATTGAACAGGTAAAAGGGTGTTAACAGTTGGGGAATCTGTTTTTAATAATTAATTTTGTGTGTGACTGTGGCAATTACGTTGCATTTTGACTGAGTATATTTTGCTTTCCCCCCAGGTGTACGCCAATGGAATTCGCAACATTGATCTTCATTTCATTATCCGAAAACTGGCAGCACCGGTCATCTCTGTCCTGCTGCTGTCCCTGTGTGTGCCCTATGTAATTGCGGCTGGGGTGGTGCCTGCTGTTGGTGAGTGTCTGAACACTGTACAATCCTTGGCCCGCTGAAGTTGAATGAGTTTATTCAGCACATATACTTCCTTTTCAAGCCACTTTTGTTGTTACCCATATGGTGGTGCTCTACATATGTTAAACAAATATGTTGCTCTCATAGGGGTGACCCCAGAGATGGAGATTCTAATGCAGAGGAGAATCTACCCCTTCCTCTTGATGGTGGTCTCACTTATCGGCATCCTGTCCTTCCAAATTCGACAGTTCAAACGCCTTTATGAGCACATCAAGAATGACAAGTAAGGATGGCTTTAGCATAGCAAGAGGCGGGCTTTTCATGTGTGAGCTCTGTTTTCAGTGTTGACATTTGCTAAATATAATAAAATCGTTTTTGTGTGCAGGTACCTGGTTGGCCAAAGGCTTGTCAACTATGAAAGGAAAGCAGGAAGAGCAAGCTCAGTCCCGCCCTCCAACCCTATCATAGAATAAATCGATTTTCACCCATGACCCCTGCATACATGTCACATCTCACTCCCACCTTTTGATTTGATCAGTCAATGGACTGTAATCCTTTTAAAATATCCATTGGTTCTTGGTGAATTTCATGGATGTTCTTCAGTCCCCTGATTTCCCTTTAATCCCCATCACAGTTGGGAAGGGAAACATGTATTTTAATCATGGGACAGCAATGTAATCTCCACAAGTCTGAGAAGGAGGGTTTTGATTTGACCTTTTGTCTGTCATTCTCGCCTTGCTTTGTAAAGTGCTGCCTGATAATTGTACATGTGTAAATACTTTGAATGCAGATTTTGTCTTAAAAAAAAAAAGACATGGAAAAATGCAATGACCATTGTACATCTTAAAAGTGTATGTATAATTTATTAAATCAAACCAGCAATTTCTTGTTGTTTTATGACAGAGATCATGTGAGTTTAATAAGGGTTTGGCATCAGGATGTGCTGACAATTCTCATTTGTGACGACTAAAACTCGAGCGGTTATTTTTCTGTTGGTGGCGAGGGTGCGACCTTGTGTGTAGAGAGTCAAGAAAAAACTATATTTTTCTGTACCATGAGTGATTCAGTCCTTATAGACCCTTCTCCCTGAGGTCATTTTAGCCAAAATACTCAAGTTTCTGGTGCCTTATTCAAGGGCACGCAGGCAAAAGGAAAACACAAAGAAGCCTTAGCCATTTTTAGTATTATCAGACTGTGCCCCCTGCAGAAGGGAAAAGGGGAAACTTTGCTAATAGTGCATTTCAACTGAATCCATCATAAGGAATCTTAAGTAAGTAAGTACCATTATAAACTGTTTTACATACAGAGCAGGAATGGACAAAATTATGATCCCCAAGGCATCATACGGCCAGCTCTTTAATTGGTTCCACAAAGCATTTACATCATTGAGTCCGCCAATATTTTTTGCATCAATGTTATTTTAATGTATTAAGCAAATAGTATAAAAATATTTAGAGCATAAAATAATTGGTTAATAGTTGTATGTTAATTTTTTTTTACAAGTAAACAACATTTAACGTTTTATTTTGTCATATATTTGGTTAGAAAAACTAAATATAATAAAAAATAAGCATAAGGACATATTTTACGTTCGGATTCTGTTTACGTCTGCGATTTCCGGGTTAGGTGGATTCTCTCTGGTGACGTCACACGCAGGCACTCCCTTTCCCCAGTAGAGGGAGAAAGATGGCGCCCACTCACGTATTGAGATGCTGTCAACGGGGCTTAGCATGGATACCTGTGATTTTCATCGCGATGGTCGTCTGCTGGTCCTATTATGCTTACGTGGTGGAGCTTTGTATATGTGAGTAGACGCTCTGATGCCCCGTTATGTGGCTCCTTAGACTTCTATTGCCGCCGTTTCCATTGTACTCGATACACAAGCAGGTAGCCTCCTTTTTGGGCAGGAGGAAGTAAATGGAAGGACTAGCCCAATCATAAAACTGGCAAGCCCTTTTTAATTCTCTTGATATAGCGAACAAGCAGACAGACAGCTGGTATTGTTTTGAGTTGAAGTACAATCTAAGTGATGAACACGCTTTGGACCGAGACAAAACTTTCCCCGGGGGTGTTAATGCCTTGCTAACAGTTTTAGGTTCGAGCTCTGTAAGGAGGCGAACATCATCATTTTTTTTTACTGCTTCATTTGGTTGTCTTGTCATCGCAAGGACTTGCTTGTTCAACATTCGTGACATTATGACCCTCGCCCAAAAAAAACATTCTGTGACCGAAGGAAACGATTTTCTTTGACCCCAAGTTCTCAAACTTGGACGTCTGTTTTTGTTTAAATATGGAAAAACAACCACAATCAATATGGAATTCAAGTCATAGTGAGTTGTCATATTCCATAAACTGTGACATATAAATCTCAGTAAATCTATTTAAATGTACTGTGTAAATGTTTTGTAAAGTGTAACTTATGTCAAGTTGACCATTTTGAGCTGTACAACAAATAACAATTGTGTCTGGGGCATCCAGTAAGCCAGGAGTCACTTACCATAATACTTCTGAAATCACACATTTTCTGAAAATACCTTTAACAATAATAAGAATATGTCATAATGAATACAATATATATTTACAGACACCATCATATTAATGCTTTCTCACAATAATTAGCAAACAGATACCTGTAAATTTCAATTTGCAACACTTCTACAAATAGCAATGTGACAACATGACAGTCTGTCAAAGTGCTGAGTCACTTCAACTAGAGTGCAACGCACCAAGAATTTTGAAAATCATACGATGGATTTTGGAGAGCTTGAGTTATTTTGTGTTGTTAAAAAAAAGGCCTTTTTGGGGAACGTTTTTGGATGATATTGCTTGTAGAAAAATTAGTCCACTTCACTTTCAAATTTCAATAAAATGGCCTAACTTCCATCGTCCTCAATGTGCTCCTTGACCACTTAGTTTTGTCTTCTAATCGACGAACCCATTTCTCCGATTTGATGACAAGTTTCACCTCAAAATATCAACCAATTCCTAATACAGGCCAAAATGCCAAAATGTCAACGAGTCAAAATGAAAAAAGTCACTGCTGAACTATTTTTAGAAGAAGCCCGTGGCCTACCCATTTGCTTCTTGGAGGCTACCTGGTGTTGGTGACTCCTGCATCCGAATATCCCATTGACTTTTAAATGCCTAAACACGTGAAAATTGAATTTGTTTGACTCAAGCTTTGAAGTTTCTTATGGGGTGGGAAATCATTCTACTGGGCACACTCATTTTCCTGAGTAAGCACGTCAAAGCCGTTGGTTTTGATGTACCCTTTCAATGGTGCTCTATAAATATGCACGATGGATTGTTGACCCAAGGCTCCCTTGTCAGATCTACAATCACCACTTTTATGTGTCACTTACATATTTTTGTCTCTTACAGTCACCATCACTAGTATAGGAAAACAGGGTAAGCTTCCTGTATATTGGCTTCATCTTTTTTTATGCTGAGTCTCTCTCATTAGCCTTTTTTATATGTTTAGCGGTATACCTTTCCCTCTCAGCTAATATGGTGATTTTTCATATTTTTACTCTAGTTGTATACCTCATCTTCTTCCATCTCTCCTTCATCATGTTTGTGTGGTCTTATTGGAAGACCATCTTCACAAAGCCTGCCAACCCTTCCAAAGAGGTAGCGTGTGATCCCGAGTGACCCGACGGTGCTGTTCAGGTCTATAGTCTAAAATGTCCTGTTTTTGGTTTTGTGCTCCCTCCAGTTCTGCTTGGCTAAGGCTGAGAAGGAGCGCTACGAGAAGGAAGAGCGGCCAGAATCCCAGCAAGAGATTCTGTGGCGAGCTGCCACCAGCTTGCCACTTTACACCCGCACTGGAGCAGGAGGTACGCGAACACTGTGCACTTACCTTTTCCATCCCAGTCCATAGCTGGTATAGACTTCAGCTTACCATTTTGTCCCACAATACTGACATCAGTTCTGACCAAATTCGCATGATTTTTTTTTTCAGCAATTCGTTACTGTGACCGCTGTCAAGTCATCAAGCCTGACCGTTGTCATCACTGCTCCGCGTGCGACATGTACGTTTTTTGTCATGAGCTTGCATGAGACAAGATACGTTTTCTCTTCTTGTCTGTCTACCTGGATAGTCATGTTTCGTCTCCCTCCTCCATCTTTTTTTCCTTTGTTTCGTAGGTGTGTGCTGAAGATGGACCACCATTGTCCCTGGTACGCTACCAACGGTGTTTGTGCCAGACGTGTTACGCACTCAGCAGGCACAATATTAGTTGCGCTCGCACAAGATCCAAGATGAACGGATCATTGAAATCAGAATGATCTATTAGTGTGTTGTAATCTCGAGAGTTGTCCTCATTTGTGGCTTCTGGGTAACAGGAAGGATTGGGATCACTTCTTTGCTGTGCAGCATATTTTTACTGTGTTGGTGCTTCCAACTCAACCCAGTGTGACCTTGGCTTTTCTGTCTTTCTCCAGGGTGAACAACTGCGTGGGGTTTTCCAACTACAAGTTCTTCATCCTCTTCTTGGCCTACTCGCTGCTTTACTGCTTGTTCATCGCAGCCACCGTGCTGCAGTATTTCATCAAGTTCTGGACCGTGAGTAATGACACACTTGGGCACAGTTGGGATCCACTTCAACGTCCACGTACTCCCTGACAAGTCGGCCGTGCGTGGTGTCGTGTTGCCCCCACCCTCCCCCTTGTCTTCTGTCCTCCTTCAGCTCCACATGACCTTCCGTGTGTGTCACATCCACCATACCGAGCTGTTTCATCCGATCTGCTACACCCCCCCTCACCCCCCACTCCTCTCTTATAGTTTCTTTGACTTGACCAACTGTACTTTGTATTTTCCTGCTCACTGTCTTTTCCTACCTGTTCTTCTCTCCCGGTGGTGCTAACAAGTCTCATTTCTGTGTGAACGAAAGCTTTGCCAGAGAAAATCGGCTGAGAACTGCCCAAAGGTAACATGGCCATCCGTCCAAGCCTTTGGCTTTCGCACCACCTCCCGGGTCATCCTTGTTGTGATGCGCGCATGCTGTGTCTGTCCCTCCCTGTCTGTAACCCCCCCGCCCGCTATCCCCTCCCACAACAATTGCCCCACGTGTAGACGTATTATTAACGCTTCTGTGGCTTTCCTCTTCTTCTCCCGTCTCTCTCCCAGAATGACCTGCAAGAGACCCACTCACACGCCAAATTCCATGTCTTGTTTCTCTTTTTTGTGGCGGCCATGTTCTGCATCAGTATTCTCTCCCTCTTCAGTTACCACCTGTGGCTCGTCGGAAAGAACCGGTCCACCATAGGTAGCGCCTTTTTCCATTCCTTTTCAGTACCACTTACCCTTACTCAGCTCGTCAAACGACTATTCACGCTCACACCTATGGACAATTTAGCCTCTTCAATGAACCTACGACCATCCATATTGAATGGACTGTTAAAATGATTTCACTTGTGACGTGATTATCTTGATTATGTCTCAGAGGCGTTCCGAGCGCCCGTCTTTAGGACCGGCTCTGACAAGAATGGCTTTTCATTGGGCTTCCGGAAAAATATCTCTCAGGTGTTTGGAGACCAGAAGAAGTACTGGCTACTGCCAGTCTTCACCAGGTAGGAAATTGTCCACGAAAAGTTGTCTTTTCCATCTGGGGTATTGCTTGGGCTGACTTTATCGTCTTTTGCCGCAGCCAAGGAGACGGTCTGACATTCCCCACACGGCTTGTCAACGCTGACGTTGAGCAGCCGACAGCCGCCTTGCACCCAGAGCCGAATAAAAGGTGATCAATCAGAGCTGGGGGGAAAAGGGGATTTTTGTTGAGATGTCGGGGTTCACGCAGTTATTTTATTTGCAGTGAAGTGACGGTAAGGCCACTCAGCGAGTCACAGAACCGCCTCCTGAGCAACGAGCAGAACACCAACAGCATGGTACACCATGTGGCAAATAATCCCATCAAGTCAGGTGAGTTCCCCTGGAATACGGAATAAATTGAAGTGGGACAGCAGTCCAGTAGTCCTAGAATAGCAGTCCACAGAAGACTCTTGACAAGTTGCCTGTTTAAAGCGCACGACATGTCAACAGTCATAGGACGGGGGGTTAGGGGGTGGGGTTAGCGTATGTTTGCATTTAACAACTAGTTGAGCCCCCTTTGGCGGTCATTACTCCATCTGGATATTTCTCCTTATTTGCAGATCACAATTGCACAATGATCAGGAGGAATTTTGGACCGTTCTCCTTGACAAAACCGTTGCAGTTCAGCAACAATCCTGGGTTGTCCACTGTGAATAGCGTTCTTGAGGTCATGCCACAGTACCTCAATCGGGCTGAGGTCAGGACTTTGACTAGGCTTTTGGGGCACTTGATAGATAGATAGATGGATGGATGGATGGATGGATGGATGGATGGATGTGTGGATAGATAGGTAGATTTTAAAAAGAGGCCTGACCTCAACCTGATTGAGATGCCGTGGCATGACCCGGAGAGAGCTCTTCACAGCGGACATCCCAGGAATTTCGCTGAAGGGCAACAGTTTGTAAAGCGCAATGTCCAAAATTCCCCCTTCACAACTCGAAGTCTTTGTTGCATTCATTACAACCCAATGTGTCTTCCTGTTTGGTTTCACAGCCCCAAGTGAGAGCACCACCGTCTCCATGGAGAGTGAATCCTAACCAGGTGATTTGTTGTGCTCATGTGTAGCGGCCAGTTACGTTGCGTGCTTTAAAGCCAGAGCAAGCGTAACAATCAATCTTCCAATTGAACTCCACCCGATTGGCTATTGCGTCCTCCCCCGCCATAGGAGCGACTCCTCAATCATCCAGTCTGATGCCTTAAACCGTGCGACACTTTCGCTCATCACCATGGTAACGGCCTCTCAGTGCAACCTCAGAGTAACTATGGAAATGCTTTCCTTTTGCCTGTCACAGCACAGAGTTGCGTTCATGGCAGTGGCGTTTTTCCGCATGCAGCAGCACCAGCTGTGTGTGTGTCTGTGTGCGTGCGCGCGCGCACACAGACACACGCGCATACATGCGCACACACGATACACACTCATTTATTTCATTGCTACACTTGTCTGTCTCATTGGACTATTTCGGTGTCTTTTTCTGGAATATTTATTCTGATTGAGGAAATTCTGCGCAGGAGTTTTGAGCTGTTTTTTTGGGTGCCAAAAGCTACCTGGATCCACATTAGATGGTCTCATAGGCACAAAGCTACAGTCAAAAGCGGAAGCAAAACTGGACATTGCCTTATTATTATTTTATTTTTTTCAATGAAGAATCCAATGACGGGACTATTGTTTTTCTTCCTTAAACTGTATTCTTGGAAGATGATTGCTACTTTTTGGAAACATGAAAGATTTCCCAGCACAGATGTCCCAGACACCCGGAGTCAATGGACTGTTTTTGTATGAGCACAACATGGTGCATTTGCACTGATGCGATCAGTGATGTACATTAACCAGTGCTGCTTGTTCGCCGGTTGGCAAAGCAACACGAGTTGAGTGAATTTTTCAAGTGTGTGCTTGTGTGTGTGTGTGTGTGTGTGTCTGTGTTTTGACGAATTGCAGCCTTTACTTGGTGTTTTTATGCATTTGCTCATTCAGAATTCGTCCTTTGTGCTCTGTTATCTCTGCAGTGCTCGACAAATTCCACATTAATTGCCAAAATAAGGGCTGCACCAGCAGGAGCTCAGACTTCTGAACCTAAAGTGTTTACAGCATCCTTAGCTTTACCTTTACCTCTGTGGGTCAAACCGCATTAAGAATCATGGCGCTTTTTTTTTCAAGCTGGACCTCTTGCCTGTCGTGTTGTCTCACTCTGACCAGCAGATGGCGACAGGTCTTTACTTTTGCCTGCAGTACATCTTATGACCAGTAATGTTTTTTTTTTTTTTGGGGGGGGGGGGGGAATCATGAGGGAAAAAAAAAGCATCTAATTTTGTCAATTCAAATTTGACCTTGTCTGCTTGTCCGAGCCTTAGCTTGTGTTTTGGGGTGAATTGTCTCGTGTCGTGGCGCAGGGAAATCATCTATTTCACAGTATCTCAACTCTGTCATGTTATTATTCTTTTTTTTTTTTGTACATTTTTTTTCTTTTTAGTATAACCAACGATGTCTGTTCCATATATGCAACTTTCTCATTCCTCACACACACCTCATATTCATGTCTGTCCGATGGCATTCTCATGACAGTTGCCGGATGAGCCTCCTGCTAATTGCATCCCAGGCTGTACAAGTTTACAGCCGTTTATGTATTGTATAGAGTGACTTGTGGTGTTGTACATTGTTTTCTATCATAGTTGTGCTACATATAAGCAAAACGGACAGTCTGCGCTGGCAGAGAGTTGGCAATGCCTACTCTCTGTATTTTGTTTACGTGTTACTGTTCAAGCAAATGACACCCATTGGAAGATACGGGCTTCCCAACATTGAAGCCCCATCAGAATGGAACAAATCAAAATTGAGGGAACAAATTCCTTTACAGTCAACTCAAAACAAGCATAATGCACTAGAACCCTTCTGCTTATCGCCATTTATTCCCAATATTTGGACCGATCATCATCTTCTTTTCTATAAATGGCCTCTAATCTTTTTCTGGGCTCTTAAGCCTTGAGATTGACACGTGTGTGTGTATTTTTGCACGGTGTTGTTTTGTAATATTATCGTCTTGAGAGAAATGCTTCTTTTTTCGTTTTGTTTTGTTTTGTTTTTTACACATACGTTGTACAATGTGCACAACGCCAGAATAAAGCCTGTAAGCATGGCGCCTCACTGTGAGAAAATGTGTTTGTAGCCGTGTGTCAGTGCGGTTGAAATTGAAGGTGCATCATGTTTGAAAGCAGCTTTACTCTGGTGTGCCCGAATAAATGAAGCCATAAAACCACAAATAGCCACGTGCATTTGTCATTTGAGCGTGTTCCATGATGTCAGTTCTGTGAGACGTTCTTTGCAATTTCTCAGAAAGACATGACACGAGCTGCCTGATTGATGGGTTTTTGGGGGGGTTAGGGAAATAAACATCAACTTTCATCTCAATCCATTAAAAATGAAAGGAACTTGCTTTATATTTATTTTTCTTTATTTCCCACGTTGCAAAATAACCTAAATGTTTGTGATAGCACTCAGTAAAAAAAAAAAAAAAACACCCATAAATAAACATAAAAATGTGCTAACTTTGTCATGTCAGGATTTGAATGTCAATAGGTATACCTAATTTTGTGCTGGATTAGTGTGTGTGACAACAGTGTTTGAAGTAAGCGAACTTCAGAGTTGAACCTTGAGCTGTCTGTCAAACACCCGGGGCCTCGACTCTTCTTGGAAAGTTGTCCAGCAGAAATGAAATTTTGTGCATGTCAACTCCAATTCACTTGATTTCGAAATACTTTCATGTGTCAAGATGCATTTCATGCAAAGAACATGAGGGTGAGATCAGAGATGAAGCGCATCCACTCAGTCGCCGTGATTCTGAAATACTTTTTGTTTGTTTAGCATGTGCTCATTTGCTCCCAAGGCAATGGCCTCAATGTCAGTTGTTGGGGTTTTTTTCCCAACTAGTTGAAAAGCAAATACGTCGCAAGGCCAAAGCGGCTAAGCTTTCACTGAACAACTTTGGATGGCTTATCCATTACTGATAACACAGAAAAATCCACTATTAAAGAATGATTTTCACATTTCCAGTGTCGAGTGCTATTTGGCACAAAATCAGAAGTGAAGCGATTCAGACATTATAAGGGACCGTCATAGCTGGCAACCTCATCATTGAAGTGATACTATAGAACTCTTTGTTCGAGAGCACAAAGTCAAATATGGTACAATTTGGAGTTCAAGATTTTCAAGAGGGAAAAAAAAGGCCTCACCCCATTTTCATGCCAGCGGTTAGCAAATGTAAAGGGTTAGCTCCACGTTTTGCTTGTCCTTTGGCACTTTTTGTGATTATACAACAGAAAGGTAACGGTGAGAGGGGAAAGTATGATGCTAAGCACACAACCAATGGAGCATATACTGCGATGTACAGTAGGACAGGTCATATCACTTAAATGCACATAATCATCCTGTCATGAAGCATGTGGCTGGTGATATCAAGGCTGGTGACCACTAATGTCAATTGCCAAAGACTCCTGCCAACAAACTGATGAAATGAGCATGATACCTCCAAATTAGATACTTTCATTTTTCACACGATGGATTATTTTTCTTATTTTCAGTCGGACCAGTCAGGAAATGTTTTGGGGCAAATTTGGTGCAGAGCATGCACAACTCACATTAATTTATTCATCCAGCGGTGCCTTTCTTCTTCATTTTTCCGTTTGAAAAGTTACATTTATTGGTTTTTTTTTTGTTTTTTTTTTAAGTCAACCTCTACTTCACAGAAATGTACGCAGAGAGAGAGAGAGAGAAGGGGGAAGCGAGCGTTTTCATTGGAACGCCAACTTGAGAAGAAACGGATGAGTTCCACGGAATGGAGACATTTAGGATAGCTGACATTTCTATTCGGCAACTCTCGATTGCGCGTGCGTGCGCGCGTGTGTGCGTGTGCGTTTGTTTGTTTGTTTGTTCGTGCAGGAGGAGGCGGGCCCGACGGGGCTGCAAGCATCAAGGGCGGGGGTGCCCCAATGGCCCCGGTGCACGTATGACAGCACCGCCAAGTAGCAGCGAGGTCTTTTTACTTGGGAGACCCAACGCTGCCACTTCGGAGTCCCGCGCGAGTCCGTGGATGCGAACTTGGGATCAGCACGCGACGCCGCCAAAGTTCCATCGCTGAAAGTTTTCGGGAACCTCCGACATGAACGAATCCATCCCGACTATGGACCCTCGGTGCAAGGGGAAACCTCCCCTGGCCATGGACATCATCCTCCGTGAGTAGGCTGTTTCTCGCACCCTCAGAGGGTGAGACGCGGTGTAGGGTTCGGGGATCATGTCCCCCTTAAAAACATCTTGTCTCCTGACTTGATTTAGACATCATATCCGTGCATGTCTCCCCCTTTGTTTCATTTGTCTTCGCGTGCTCCTTCATGGGCAATAGCGACATTGATTTCACTCCGTGAATTTATTGGGAAAAATCACTAATCCGAAGCACGTGTGACATTGGAAGAGGGAACACTTAGTTAGGCGTTGTGCTCGGGTTAAAACCTTGAAATCATATTTTCCGACAATTTCATCAAAAAGCCACTTAGGCCTCATTCCAAAGCATTCTTTTCAGCTTACTGCACAGTAAACTCGTTATTTTGATGGCATTTACATACAGCATCTAAAGGATGAGGATTTACATGTCCAATGTGCTGTGATTTAAAAATATTGTAAGACAATACAGGGTGTCCCAAAAAATGTGGATATTTTTTTAAAAATTCTCTTGAAGTGATTGTTTTTTGTTTGTTTGTTTGATTTTGGAACCCTGTATTATATTTAATTGAATGGGGAATTCGGGCAGCATGGCGATCAGTCCAAGGGTCGACTCTACCGCTTGCTCAAAAATGTTCCTGAATGTTCTAAACTTCTGCTTCCACATCTCCAATCTTAGCCATTGCAGAGGTTTGCAGGCATGTCGCTCCACTGCCACTTAAGGGACTTCTTTAAACAGCAAATCGATTGATACTGAATCAGCAGCGCAGCTGCTGGCTGCAGACTCAATGGCTATTCCGTTTTGCCTCATTGACCTCAGTAGGTGATCGATCAGTTCCACACAAGGATCACCTATGCCAACCATTCCTAAATAATGTCCTTTGTGGGACATCTGTCTCTCTCCCATGCATAATTTAAACTTTTTTTCATTTACTTTTTTGCCCACTATACGCAATCGGGCCTACACGTAATGCTCCAGATGTTATTGTGCACTAAATAATTCATTTCCCCACTTGAGAAATTAAAAAAACAAATGAGGATAAGCGGTTCGGATGGTGGACGGATGGAACAATGTTTGTGACCAAATAATGCAAAAATGCGAGATTCCTCAAGGTCAGTCGTGTCCTCTTCCCAAATTCATATGTAAAACTCAAAAACTCTCGAAAATGATCCCGGTTTGGACACAAACTCTCTCAGAAGATACAGAGAGAAAGTCCCCTTGAAGAAGCCGCGGTTCCCTTTTTATTAAACCGAATGCAATGTATGAAATCAATAATTGCAGGCCCACAGTGTAAAAAGCGGGTATTGTTTATTGTTACATTGACGTGCACTAAATGGCATTGGTTACCAGAAACCCAACGACCCGCTTCCCCAAGAATGACGCTCAGTTACGGACAACCAAATAAAAGCAATGACTCAAACTTTTTTTTTTTTTTTCTCGAGCATAAGTAACATGTGTGTACCGTCTTTTAAATGAATAGCAGATGTGTGTTCTTTTACATGGACGTTGTATACGCCACACAGTGAGAAGCACAGTTGCCTGTTCTCACTTCTATTTATTTTCCCACTTCTCATTTATAAAAACTTGATGAATTCCAATATGTTGATGTTGCAATACCGAACAACAGTCCAGATGTTACCTATGCCTGCTTTAGAAGAGGTCAAAACAAATGTACCCTTGGGACCGAGTAATAATGTTTGCATTGGTTGCGTTGTGCTGCAAACCACACCGTTGCAATGCTTCGCAGAGCTCAGCAGCCTTTCATGAGTATTGCTCATTGTACGTTGTCCTCTATCTTCGTCATTATTCTGCCATTTATTTCTGGCAAGATGCAGCACACACCATCAAACATGTCCCCACACATGAGATCACAGAAATGCATCTCGGCTGCACTCTGACCTGAAACTTTTTTTTTTTTTTTTTTTTTGGTAGTACTGTGATGGTGCAATTCCACAAAACCAATAAACTCACCTAGAAAATGAAGGGGGTTTTGACAAAATGGTTTCCTTTTTGCAAGGCATGCTCCCCTGGCATATGGCAACCAACAGATGAGTTTCTCGCCTTGTTTTGTTGACATGCTTTAAAAGTAAATAAATAATAATTCGGATGAATTGTAAACGGAGGCACTTTAAATGCATGGTGGCAAGTGTGCCATTTAGCATCAGTTTGAATGTGATGGATTGCGAAGATGTTGAATGTGTGATGTGTTTCTCCACAGAGTTGGACCTCTTTGGCATCATCTTGTACTCTGTCCTCACTTTCATGGCAGCCACGTCCATGCTGATCTTCATCGAGGAGTGCGTTTATATTTATAAGAAAGTGCCAGCCAATAAGAAGAGCACCATCATATGGGTGAATGGAGCAGCACCGGTAAGAATTAATGCATTTGGGCGGATGGCTGTGTGGTGAAAAAAAAATTAGTTGTTTGATCTTTTGTGATGCTGTGCCTCAAACGATTTATGAGTGGTATATTTCATTATTATTTGGTGTTACGTGTGCATGAGAGATGCTGGCTGGGGGGAGCTCCTGGTCCTGTCAGAGCAAAAGTGGCACGTTCACTCTTTTGTGCGTTTTTTTTTTTTTTTTAGGTGATCGGCACCATGTCCTGTCTCGGAATGTGGGTCCCCCGAGCCACCATGTTTACCGATATGACCTCGGCCTGGTGAGTGTTTCTTCCTCTGCTTTCGAATCCCTTTCCTCATCTTCCCCACCACTCCCCTGCATCATCCTTCCATCGCAGCTACTTTGCCATCGTGGTGTTCAAGTTCCTCATCTTGATGATAGAGGAGGTGGGAGGCGACGAGGCCTTCCTGCGGCGGGCGACGAAACACAAATTGAAGATCAGCACGGGGCCGTGTTGCTGCTGTTGCCTCTGCCTGCCATATGCGGCCATCTCGAGGTAAACACTCCAGCCACGAGTGCAATTGGTCTGCTTTTTGGATTACGGCCGAGTCCATAGGATAACTTTTCTGCTCAAACCTGCTGTGTGATCCCTTTATCACAAATGCTACGAACTGAAACCTCATGTGGCCATAATGAAGCGCAGGCCTGTACAACCTCCACGTGTGCACATATGAGATGATATGGAAGATTTATTTTTTGGGGGGGGCGGTGCTGTTTAAAGGTTACATAAGATGGGGAGATCCTCTGCACGTACTGTACTTGGAAGGCAGGTTAAACACTCCTGGCCATTCAACTTTTTACTGGCCGAGCCAGCGCGTTTATGCACACGGTTAAAAGTTCACATCCTTTTTTTTTCCCCCTCACGTACTCACGTGGAGGCAACGCTAAGGAGAAATGGCTCCTGATGCAACTTGTCAAGATACACTGAAAGCAATGTGAATGGGGCGATAATGCACACGCTTTTAGTATCTTTCATTCATGTTCACAACAGGGGAAAATAATTACAGGAGTTTCCTCTGTTTGCAGGCGTTCTCTTTTCCTGCTCAAACTTGGCTCCTTTCAATTTGCTCTGCTCAAGGTCGTCTTCACCGTCCTCTCCATCGTCCTGTGGACCAACGGAACCTTTGATTTAGCGGATGTGAGTTGATCACTTTGATGCCTTGACGAGTTACTGACGGGAAACAGACATTGCTAACGATGAACGACAGGACCATTACTCGGACATATCTTTCATTTTCCATGACACACAACAAGTAATAATAATTGAAAGGTCTCATCCAACACTTGATTTTTCTATTTTATATTCTGTTTGAATATCCCTTGATGGGGTTTGCAAGATCATTTGAAATGCCTGCCATTTCGGATGTCTGCATTTCTCAGTATTATTCAATATGTAAATAAGGTGTGCTGCGATCGGATCGCTGCTGTCCTTAATGTGACTATGGGGAACAGGTTTCCTTTGATTGGTTGTCAGAGATGTCTCGGCATCTTTTGACGGCTGTGTCTGGTTTTACGATCATTGCGAAGCCAAAGTCAAAAGTGTCGGTGACTCACACCCACACAATGAGAGCCTGTAAGGCTACACATACAATGTGTTGTACTGCATGAAAATCACTCACATACTTTTTGCCGACAATGACTGCAAGCTTTGCTATTTCATCCTGAGGTACATTTTTAATTCTAAATATATTTAACTATTGTTGTAAAACACACACACACACACACACACACACACACACACACACACACACACACACACACACACAGACTGTATACGTATTAGTATAAATACAAATGTGGACACTATGCAAAAAGCTTTGCACTCTGAGCTTTTGTTTGGAAACTTTTCAATGGAATTTTGGTTGTTGCTCATGTGTTCTGTCCTGTCTTGTCCTTGCTGACACTCCCAACGTGTGACTGATTCAGCTGAGCATCACTGGCTCCGCAATATGGATCAACCCCTTTGTGGGCATCTTGACGATCATCGCCCTGTGGCCTGTGGCCATCACGTTCATGCACCTCCGGACCACCTTACGCACCATCAAGATTATCCCCAAGTACGCCATGTACCAGGTAGGGCTCCGGGAGAGGATCCACACCGCGTGACATCACAATGGGATTGTCAGGCCCAACAAGTGTTTGCATGTCGGCAGCTCGTGCTGATCCTTAGCCAGCTTCAGTCGGCTATCATCAACATCTTGGCTTTGAACGGAACCATCGCCTGCGCGCCGCCATTCTCTTCCGCCGCCAGAGGATACAGTGAGTCACCATCCATCCTCGCTTCATTCTTACATTGACTTGCTCCATCGGCGGCGACTGCGTTTTTGGTCGTCCCAACCCCACCTTCATCCTAATCGTTTGCTCATCAAAACATGTTTCTCCCTGTGACGTTCATGTGCGTCTCCGCAGTGATGAGTCAACAACTGCTGATCCTGGAGATGTTCATCATCACGCTAGTAACACGTCTGCTCTATCGCCGCCTCTATGATCCGCTGCCCGAGGAGGAGTGTGACGACAACGAGAACACCAAAATGGTTACTTTGCCGAAAGCCGTATGAGTCGGTCTTACGTGTGCGTGTTTTATCCTTGTATGTTGTGCATTTCATCAGGAGATTACGAGATGTTTAATTAACTGAGCAGGCTCTTCGGTTATCCAAACGTTCTGAAGTGTAACATTTGCTGCCAATTCTTCTCTGGTTCTTTCGGTCGTAAAACCCTGAGAAGTTATGCAAGAGACTGTTGGCACAGCAACAATGTATTCGGAATGTAAAAGACAGTTCTTGCTTGTATTTGCAATTTTGAAGAGGGAATGAATATTTAAATATTTTTTTTATTAGAATCTGCAAAACATGTTGGACTTCACATACGTTGGAAAATAACTTTATATTTTAAAACGATATGTTTAGTTTTACCGCATTTTTCCGACAGTAACATGACATCACTTTAAGTGACTAACTTTTAATAGCATTTCAGTTTCATGTCAGTGTCTTAATACAAATGTCCAGGAAACAGACTTTATTTACAGTACAGAGTAAATGTGATCTCTTTTTGGAGACGCTGTTGCATTAATGGTGATAATTTTTTATTTTTATTTTTTGCTAGACCTTTACTGTCACTCTTGTCATGCACAAGACTAGTACAGTTGACATTCCAAAGACACTCTGCTTCTTTGTGGTGTGTTTTTTCGAGTACAGGTACCTGCTTGTTGACCTGCTATTAATGTTTGCTTCCATTAGGTGGCAGTAAAAAGCTAATTTTGACGTTTGATGATGAGTAGCTTTAATAAAATTAGTATATATGAATAATAAATGAAGAAATGGAAACATGTTTATTAATAATATGAATCATTCATGGTAAATAAAAGAAAGTACTAGGTCTGAAAATATTTTCAAATACTGTATTCTACTCAATGTAGTGACGTTAACTGTTTTACGCGCAGTAAGTTTTGATTGATGCTACAATTGTCCAATAGAATTCATAGTAGTTGCTTACGTCATTTCCTTTAGCCAATTCATTTAGCCTACCGGCTGGCTTTATCGAAGGGGGTAGACTCGTGACTCGCCAATGTACAAAGCATGCTGCACGAGCGCCTGACTGTAACGGAAACAAAGGAAGCGTCTTACAAAATTTAACTCGACTATTGGTCATGCGGTATTAAAAACAAAGTAACCACGCTTTTGATCGTTTATTTTCAATTTTATTTTTTAAAACACCCTGTTGCTTGTATAACCTAACCCCATACATTTATTTAAGATTTGTCTTTGTTTGACGTTTGAAAAAAAATACATGTATAATGTAATTAAAATGGTATATTTGACATACAGTCGCTGTACATAATTATTCGGAGTTGCAAAAGAGCATTTGTGTCTTAAATAAAACAATGGTCATTTTTTTAATCGGACGAGCGTCGACATTTATTTTGAAAACCCCAGCAGAAGTCGCAGTAGGGGACTAAAACTTGACACTTCCTTGACAGGTCTGAATTGATGAACGCTGTAGACACAGGAAGACTAATTGCAAGATTATTGCTCCCATATCAGCCATAAACCCGCATGGACAAGAAGCTTTCGCCTCGCTCCGTGTCCTGCGGGCCGAGACCGATGTCATCGCCGCCGAGACGGATCCCTCAAACCCGAGCGTCAGATTGTCAACATTACCGGGGATGAATGGTGGCGCGTTTGCTGAACGTCAATACTAAAGCGTCAAAATGAGACTGCTATTTTCTCTGCTGAAGAACAACAACCCCAAAGTGGAGTATTACTCCAGGTTCTCACCGTCACCGCTCTCCATCAAGCAGTTTTTGGATTTCGGTAAGTGCAGACATCAGCCGTCAGGTGGCTGTTTTGGCAGTGCTTATTTCCTGTGTTATTGTTGACCCGATGCTGGTGTGTTTGTGTTGCCAAACTACTCATCGTCTTAGAGTTTTTGGGATAGCCGCACCAAATGTTGTTGTCCAAGTGTTGACCGTAGTGGAGGAGACTGCATGTTGTGACTGCATGTTCATGTTTCTTTTGTAAACATGCAGAAATACAAGGAGACTTGAGGTCTTGAAACTCTACTCACCCACTTAGTCGTTCATGTAATACAATCAGAAACCGCACTCATGGGGACCATTACACGATCTATATTACATAGTTCTTTTGAATTTTGTTTTAATTATCCTTTCTTTCAATATCATTCTTGCGCTATGCATAAAAGTTACTATTGTTATGACAACCCTTGTTGCAGATTTTATTAGCGGTGCGGGTGTACCTTTTACTGTATACGGTAAGTACATATTATATTTTTAAATGGGATTTTTATTGCAAAGCTCTGCAAATATTTAAATTTTAATAATATTGTGGCTGGTTCAGCCATGCAATTTTAGTGATGCATAATATCTGCACACACAAGCATACACTGTGTGCAAATTACATATTCAATGGCAATGTGGTGTGTTATATGAATAATAATATCTGATTCTACAAAAATATTCAAATAATTTGCAAAGTTAGTTTGATCACGGTCAGTTTGTTGGTGATAATTTGAGGGTTTTTTTTTTAAATGACACCTTAAATTCATTGTTGTTGTATTTTATGGCATAGCAGACATAATTTTTGATACAGCATTTGTATTTGATGCAATTTAATGTACAGGTATGTTTGATAAGTGAATATTCTATTTCAAAGTTTTAGTATATGTACTCCCTAATCATGTTAAGAAATATCAGTACCAATGCAGATTTCTTCTTCACCCACCTATCCATCCATGAGGGTCGCGGGCGTGTTGGGGCCAATCCCGGACGTCTTCGGGCAGTAGGCCGGGTACACCCTGAACTGGTTGCCAGCCAATCGTAGCGCACACATAGACGAACGACCATCGGCGCTCACAGTCACAATTTAGACAAGAGTCTTCATGAATGTTTTTCTTCATGAATGTTTTTCAAATGTGGGAGAAAACCCACGCAGGCATGGGGAGAACCTGCAAACTCCACTCAGGAAGGCCAGAGTCCAGAATCAAACCCTGGACTTCTGGACAGCCAAATGGTTTCCTTTTTATCAGAAGCATATGCATGTTTTTTTTTCCCTCACAACTGCTGAGTCTGTCACCTTCTAGAAAGGCTTGAAAGTCAAGCAAACAGTTATTAACCGCAACATGCAAGCAGTTCGCTAAGCTTTCCCTTAATCCACGTGTGATTAAAAGCGTTGGTTTACATTATGTCAGTTCTTCTCACGACTGTATGGGAGGGAAGCCATGCAGCATTTTTGTAGCAATCTTCTCAGCGGGCCGAGGAAGGGCCACGGTACACAGCATTTGTTATTTTATGATCAACAAGCCACATCCTCTCCATCATGCTGCTGAATCAGAGGAAGCAGAGCGAGAGAGAGTTTTGTTCTGCAATGTCATCTGGTTTTTCCAGGCAAATCACATATTTGTTGTTTCGGAGTTGCACATATTGCGCACTGGGTCACCACAACCGGTGTGTACATGACGTCCTTTTTAGAGCGAGACACTTCGGTTTTCCGAAAACATAACCTTCCCATGACTCCCCCGACTGAGTGGAGTAACACGATTTGTTGTTTCCTCAAACACTCCAAACAGTGAATCCAAGTCTAATGGGTCTTGGCTTCAGATCTAAAAAGCTGCCCGTGCGACTTATTGTCTTGCTTTTGATTTAGTAAATAATTGATCGTGGGTTCAAGATAAACACACTCAATCACAAATCGGCCGTCATGACAAGGGTTGAAAAGAACATTGTTTTGTTTTATCTGCACCTTCCTGATATGCTCATCTAGAATCTGAGTTTGAGTTTGAGTCACCCTTAAAAAAATATCTCCAAAATGTGATGTGCTCGGAAAAAGTGTTGCCATCTCTGTTTAAAAAGTCCTTGTTGACCAGTGTAATGAGTAAAAATCACCGAAGGAATGTTCAGGGGTGCTCGAGCGCGACTAGTATTAGAGCACCTCTAAAAAGGGTCAAAACAGGCTGATCCTTACTAGGTCAAACTTCTGACCACATGACCCTTACAACACATCTACAGTACATTTCTGGTCTCTGGTTATCATCATTTCATATCCTTTTTGCCATCACGGGTATGGAATGATGTGTCCGGTGAGTGCATTTGATCGGGCAGCAGGATTTCAGGATAAAGGCTGACTCTTAAACATTGCCAAAATGTTGCCCTCATTGTGTTCCAGGGAGGGAGAACGCATGTGAGAAAACATCGTACATGTTCCTGCGCAAGGAGCTGCCCGTGCGTCTGGCCAACACCATGCGAGAGGTCAACCTGCTGCCCGATAAGCTGCTCAGCCAGCCGTCCATCCGCCTGGTCCAAAAATGGTGAAATGACATTTTATTGGTTCGAATTCCTCTGCAATAGATGGCCACTTTTGAAATAAGGTCTGCTTGTAATCTAAGTTGGGCTGAGATATGAATGGTTCTTTTTTTTTTTTTTTTTGGTTCACCATGAGTTTGTAATCGTTTAAAATAAATAGAATTTGCGATGGAGGTGGAATGATTTGAATCGAAACCGTATATATGGCACCCATTCGATAAGGTGTCTGATAACAGTTGCCCTTTGCTTTTTGTCTTTTTTGTTAGGTACATGCAAAGCTTTGTGGAGTTGCTGGACTATGAGAACCGAAAACCTGAAGATCCTCATGCATTGAATGAGTGAGCGTTACATCGATCCATTCCGAAATGAATGCTGTGTTTCCCGCGGCTTTAGCGCTCTCTGCCATGACATGGTTCCACTGTCATTGATTCGTGGAAAAATGTGGACAGAGTTGATCTCACCTTTGCAGCTAGAACAGCCTCTGCTCCACTGGACAGAGTGAGTTTTCCACAGATTGTCGTTGACAGCAGTGGTCCCCATCCACCGGTTCCTCGGACCGGTACCGCCCCAAGACGGCCTCGCGAGCCATGCGTAAATTTACTCCATCAGACGTGGCGGAAATGTGCGCGACTCGAGCCAATCAGAGTCCCGCTTCTAACATTGGTTCGCAAGTTGAAATCAACAGACTCCGCCAATATATGAAAGAAGAAACAGAAAGCAGAACGTAAGAGTAACAAATTGACCACAAGTACAGCTCGACGCGCTTTTGTTCAGACAGCGTCGAGCCGCCGGCGCAGAAATTAGAACGTAAGAGTAACAAATTGACCAAAAGTACAGCTTGACGCGCTTTTGTTCAGACAGCGTCGAGCCGCCGGCTGCGCAAGTGGTGCGTATTTACATTTCCACAAAGGCCATGTGATAAGCAGGAATTTGGAGAAAGGAGAACCGCGGTTTCTGAGAATCGTGCCACTTGTTTTCGGTTTGGAGACCTCTTTGAAGGCCTCTTCCAAATCCTCTCCGTGTTGACCCCCCTCAGCTTCCTGGAGTTGCTGATCGAGATCCGCAACCGTCACAACGACGTGGTTCCAACCATGGCGCAGGGTGTCATCGAGTTCAAGGAGAAGTTTGGCTTCGACCCCTTCGTCAGCAGCAACATCCAATATTTCCTGGACCGCTTCTACACCAACCGCATCTCCTTCCGCATGCTCATCAATCAGCACAGTGAGTCTCGAAGGATGAGTCTGCATGACGTCATCTCGTTTGCGAGTGGCTTCACTTGTGTACCCGTCCAGCGCTCCTGTTCGGAAATGACACCAACCCCGCTCATCCCAAACACATCGGCAGCATCGATCCCACCTGCTGCGTGGCCGAAGTTGTCAGTGGTGAGTTTGACACGCAGATTCTTTGGAAGGCCGCCGGAGGCGAGACACGCGTCGTATTGTGGAAGTATTTGTTCCCACCAATCTCTGCTCAACGCTTTGTTGACATGATTCGGCACTGGTGGACTTCCTGCCGTGAGACGACAAAGCCGAGTGATGCAAGGAGAAGCGGCGGAGAAGCAAAAGACTTGATGTTGTTTCTTTCACTGAGTCATGTCGTCTTTGCTTGATCCACCAGATGCGTATGACACGGCCAAAATGCTGTGTGAGAAGTACTACTTGGCTGCTCCTGAGCTCCACATTGAAGAGTTTAACAGTAAGAGATTTCAAGGTTGTTTTGGGAACCCCATCCTAGTTCCCAAAAGAACTCGAAACATGATAGCAAATGGAGTGGTTTGTTTTTTTTTTTGTCTTTGTGTGTGACCACCCGACATGCTTTGGGAGCCCCATCATAGTTCCCAAAATAACTCGAAACATGATGGCAAATGGAGTGGTTTGTTTTTTTTTTTTGTCTTTGTGTGTGACCACCCGTCATTACTTTCTAGTGAAGAGCCCCAGAAAGTCAATCCAGGCTGTGTACGTGCCCTCTCATCTTTTCCACATGCTGTTTGAGCTCTTCAAGGTTAGTGACGTCAGAATGCCACTGCATGCGATCCTCATTGTAGAAGGGACATACCGTATTTGATTGACTTGTGCTTTCTCTCCAGAACTCCATGAGAGCCACGGTGGAGCTTTATGAGAACAGCACTGAGGGATTGCCGGCCGTGAAAGCAAAAGTCACTCTTGGTAAAGAGGATCTCTCCATCAAGGTGAATCGCACATGCCCCCCCCATCTTGTTCTTATCTCTGCGGTAAAATGCCTTTTTGCGCGCCTCCCAGATCAGCGACAGGGGAGGAGGAGTTCCTCTGAGGAAGATCGACCGGCTTTTCAACTACATGTACTCCACCGCCCCGACGCCCAGCCTGGAGCCGGGCGCCGTCCCCCTGGTACACTCCGGCGCGTTTCAAAATCGTCCCGGCGTTGACGTTTTGTCTCGGCTTTTGTTCCGTGAGCCGCGCGCCACGTGGCTAACGAAAGGACCCGCTCTCCTTCCCGCTTTCAGGCCGGCTTTGGCTACGGTTTACCCATTTCTCGGCTCTACGCGCGATACTTCCAAGGGGATCTGAAGCTGTACTCGATGGAGGGTGTGGGCACCGATGCTGTCATCTATTTGAAGGTAAACGAGAGATTTACGGCAAGGGTCAATGTGGTCTGTCGTCACGTTCTGCGCTCGCAAGTCACACATATGCAATATGAGGGTGTTGACACTGACTAAACACCTCGACCAACCCACTTGTGTACATGCCCCAAAGGCACGTAAACTGTGTCAATATCAGCCAGTGACAACACAGAAGTCAATAAGATTAACTCATTCAAACGTGGATCATGACAGATCAGTGTTACATACTATGCATGAGATATACATCTTCCCGATTGCTCAACAGTGCTCCTCCATCTAGTTGCAAATTCTTTCTTGGGACCAACCCCCAGTTATTGGCTGAAACTCTCACCTGTCTGCTGTTTTTGCAGTGGTGCCAAAGCTCAATCTCATATGGAAATGTGATAGTGGAGCCGCCCTGCTCCCAGGGAGCTATGTTGAAGTGAGGGTAGGCGCTTCATTTGAACAGTTACTGGCCCTCGTCTCATAGCGAAGTCGTGCTTGGCCCCAATTGGTTGGCAGCTGCCATAAAACGTTTGAGGTTGGGTGTCAGTTTGTTGCTGATTTTCACCAATCCAATCACTGCTATGTTATACTTACCTGATTTTTGTTCACCTTTGGAAGTAGCAAAGGAGGAGCAATTAAAAAAAAAAAAAAAAAAAGAAAAAAACAACTGAATTGTGTTACTTGAACCTTGTATTCAAATTTCAAATCCAGCCACAGACATGACTCTTATCTTTGAGTTAAGAGCCAGCACAAAGAAAGGAAGCAGAAGGAAACAGCTATCTGGCCCTGCCCAAAGTTAGACAAAATTATGTCCAACAGATAATCAATTTAAAATGAATAACTGGTTGTAAGGGGGAGGTGCGGTGGGGGGTGTCACATGTTGCTCTGTGTACAAGAAAGACTTCCTGGAGTGTTCCTCGGTCGCTCCCAAGGGCAATCAGTCAGAAAAGTCAAAGAAAAACTACAAACACGGCAATCCATCTGGCCAAATCCTCCTGAAACGATGCTGCAGCGTCATTCGCCAGCAAGTTCAACGTTGATGTAAACAGGAAACACTTTTGAAAACTCGTTCTGCACATTAAGCAGCTGCAGTGCATCAAATGCAAAGATGAATCGAAAGCATTTCATCAGAAGGGGCTCCTTTTTTTTCTGCATCATGTACGGATGAAAAAAAAAAAGGACTCGTTTTCCTCGATACTTTACGAGAAAAGCCCTCTTCTGTAATCCATTCTACGAAAAGAGGAAGCTAATGTACTTTCCCCATCTGCGCGAAGGCCCTGTCGAGCGAGTCCTTTGAGCGGCTTCCCGTCTTCAACAAGTCGGCGTGGCGACACTACACCACCAGCCCCGAAGCGGACGACTGGAGCAACCCCAGCAAGGAACCGCGTGATGCCAGCAAGTCCAAATACAAGACCAACAGATAACTCGGCGCGCTCCTTTACAAATGACCAGATAAGCATTCCAAAAAGTCTCACTTCTGCAACTCCGTTTCTTACGCGCCGGTGACGCTTGTTCAAATGTCCTTTTGGTTTTTCGCGTGTTGCTTAGCCTAGCTCAGCCTGGCACACGGCTTCCTGCGCTTCGATGAGTCATCAGTGTCTCTTTGGCGTCCAAAGGGCGTTTTCGCTTCTCCCCTCACACTTTGAGTTTCAGTGGTGTCGTCCTTTCTTTGAGAGATCGCTTTTGACCGGACACACACAAGAAGTGGTGGCAGTGGGCGAGTCTTGTTTCAGCCTGGCGGGCAAGTCGTTCATCGACAGAAGCAGAATTCTGCAACACAATTCCACTCCGATAAGGCCTTACTACTGAATATTACGGTGCGTGTTTTAGGTTTAGAATCTCTGAACATAATTGTGCAATGTCGGTGGGTTAGTGATGTGCTACCCTTGCTCTCTGTGGACATTCAACAAATGGAAAAAAAGGCCAACAGGTGGATTAGTGAGACAAGGGAACGGACATGTGCAGGTGGAGACAGAGTATTCAGCACCCGAACCGTGCACCGTCATAGTTTGAACATGATCTGCTTTTTCTTTTAATACTGGGAGTGAAAATAAGACCAAGTGCCAGCAAATTGGCTCTTATTATCCAAGAGCAAATGCACCTGCCATCTGTAAACATTAGTTTTCCGCTTGGTTGTACTGTACGGCTTTTCTTTGAACATCATTATTTTTACTCGGGGTGGGTGGGGTTAGGGGCATTTCTTTTAATCAGGCAGGACACAAAGGCTGAAGGCTTTGTGGGGCTGCAAAAGAAAATTTCCTGAATCAAACACAATACAAAAGAGTGCACTTTACTAATATTACTCTGATGATGTATATTTTAATTTGACTCAAGTCATAGTTTAATCAATTGTGAAGAATTTCTAATGCCTAGTTTTTTGGAAATTCCGTCCTCAAGGAAAATTGAAATTGGTCAAGCCTTTGAGGGACAGCGGTTAGTTACCACAGTGGACAGCTTACCATGTTATCAGGTTGGGTGAAAGGCTGAAAAGAACAAACGCAGAGTTTGCGATCTGAAGGCCTGTTGAAGCCCGATATCCAATTGTTGCTTTTTGCATCCGTTCTTTGAGTGTTGAAGAAGAAACCCGGCGTGTATACAACCGTGAATAATATATTTGTTGCGTATGTATGCTGCCAGTGCGGCGGCGACGGCTCTCATTTTCCCTCTCCCGGCTTCAAACCGTGTCTTGATATGCATGAACTGTGATGGTGGCCCCATGCCGACATGCAATCACGAACCCAAAAGCCAGCGAGAGAGCAAAAATCGGATTCAGCATAAGAATAAATCACCTTTTGTCAAACATGACAATAAAAAAAAAATAATGTGTGTGATTTGTGTGGGTTTTTTTTTAAGGACAAAAAAAAACATTGCTTTTTTTTTTTTTATTTACATACCAAATATTTAAACCTTGAAAAACAGAAAACCTACATTCCCAAAAGCGTGTACTGGATCGCAGAGGTTGCACATTTATACACAGAGACGTTGCAGCAGGGTTAGGTCACGCAGGCAATTGTCTCTCGGCTGCGAGAGACTGTTGATATTGATCCATATCAATGACGCACCTTTTTGTATACGTGTCACGTTGTGGCGGGTGAGCTGAAATGTAAAGTCGCCATCATTTTGTGGTAAGGTGCAATTCCATATATTGCCGTCAGTAAAAACCAGTTAAACATGAACAACATTTCGAGGCTTGTCAAGCTTTATGGCTTTTCTATTGTGTGATGCGTGAACGGAATCAAGCCAAGATGGATGATGAGACTGTGACCGCAGGTTCACAAGTTTGCATCAGACGATTACAAACTTTCAGTGTCTTTTGGTATTTTTTTTTTTTTTTTTTTGTTTTTGTTTTTTGCACCTCTCATATCGGCTGCACCAACACCGTATTGCTTTTATTCTTTGAAGAAGAGCAAGGCAGGATTGATGAAGAACAAGGCTCCACGAGAAAAAAAAATTAAATTGACCGATTTGACGTCATTTTCCCCCTTTTTCTTTCGTTGTTCCCATTTATGTTGGATTGCAATTTCAAATGGACTTTTCAAACACTTGAACAGTCTCGGCCTGACTGGTTTTTGCTGTCGTAAAGCACAGACCTTAGGGCTCGTCACTCTTGCAAATAGACGACATTCATCCTAGCCCCCAATTTTTCATGCCCTTGGGCTATGAAGAATTTTGCACTTGGATACATTTCAGTGACATGTCAACATGTGCCGCATCGTTAACTTTGGAGTGGTTTTCATCTACTAAAAACAACTGGCAATGAAAATGCGTTTTGCATGTCTACCCTTTTCAATATGCTGGACTTTTGATAAATTATTCTTTTTTTTTTAACATGACGCCAAATTAATTTTGTTTCTAGTTACTCAATTCAAATAATGTTTGACTTTTTTTGTTCTTTGTTTTTGGGACACCCTGATTTTTTTTTTTCCCCCCTAACTACGAGAGACCCGGATCACGAGCATCCAGTTTGTGACGGCTTCTTCAGAAGCCAGCTGAACAGACCTCTCATGCACAGAAATCCCACAGCTTGGGGATGCTTTTGCTATTTTCCTTGAGGTCAAGTGTTTTTGGTGGCCGTCCAGTGTTTGTGTGGGAATTGTACGTGGGCACACGTGTGACAAATTCTCAGGCGGCGCTCCGTGAACGCGCATGTGGGAGCCGTCGGCGGCCCGTCTACTTCTCGTCCTCGTCGCCTTCGCTCATGCTGCTGATAGACGCCGAAGCTCCTTTGGGGGAGGTTGGCGGCGAGGGCCGCGCGTTGTGCCAGCGGGCGGGCGGAGACGGCGGCGACGGCGAGCGCAGGGGAGACAGTTCACGCGGAGGGCTGTTGCAGGGCGACTCTCTCGGAGACAGAGCGTAGGAAAGCATTCGTCCGCTGCGCTCCTGAAACACCTGCTTCTGCTCAAGTGCAGAGAGGGAGAGGAGGAGTCAAAGGTCACGCCATACGACAGTGCTTCTTACACTGTACTTAAAATTTTAACCTCACTGAGAACAAATAAATGGGTACAGTACTCGGATATTCCTTTGCATCCCACTAGTACGCGTGCCACATTTTGAGAATCACTGTCATAGAAATTCCCACCCTCCCCAAAATATCCGTTTGAGACGCTTACCCAAGTCCCATCAGGTCCGAATAGTTCCAGGAAGTTGCCGATAAACTCCCTGGATTTTTCTTCCCACTTTTGAATGAGGTCGTGACTCTTCTCCTCCACCCGGTAGACGAAATGTTTACTCTTCTCCTCAACATTGCGAACCTTCTCTTTCATCCGGTCCACTTGGTTCTGCAGCCGATACTTCTTTTCCTGTAGAAATCACAACCCGGATGAATAAATCGGTCGATGAGATCTGGCAGGGGGACCCCCCCCCCCCCCCCCCCCGGTGCCCAAACATAGATTCCGTTGATTGGACATGATTTGGAACGGCACACATTTGTCTATAGGAGGTCCCACAGCTGACAGTGCACAAACTAAGCATGAAGTCAAAGAAATTGTTTGCAGACCTGCGAGAGGGGATTCTGCGAGAGGCACCGATCCGGCCGAGGGCACAGAAAAGAGATGACACGATGCTTACATTGATGTAGCTGACGTTGAGCTCCTTGGCCGTGTAGCCACGTTGAAGGTTGCGACGGGCGTAAACGTCGTAGTCCCGGACAATCCTGGTGATGATGTCCGACGTGGAGATTCCTTCGGTGCGTTGAGTGGGCACAAACATTCCTGGAGTGTGCGCATGACAAATACTTTCCAAATCTTTATTTTTTTTTTTTTTTCATTTTTTGTTTTTGTCGCATCATTCAAACACACCAACCTGCCTCCTTGATGTGTTTGTAGACATCCTCGCTCCCTGCTGAGGAGTATGGAATATCATCATGAGCCACAAAGTCGATCTAAGAAGCAATCAGATGACATTGTATTGCATGGAAGGACGAGCCCCGGGTGTGTGAACCCGCCACGTCTGGCTCGCACCTTGTGTTGCTCCAAAAACTCGGGCGTGAGCGTCCAGGGAGCGTCCCTGAGCACCTCGTCGACGTAGCGGCAATGCCTGAGCGCTTCGTAGCGTTCCGTCTCCGTCATGACGGTGAAGCCCTTGTACTTGTGGGTCAGCTCGTCGCTGCACACTGTGTCGCACAAAGAACACGCACGGCGTGGTTGAAGCGGATGGTTAGCGACTTTAGAAGTGGCCTTTCGGGTCCTCTCCCACCTCCCACGATGAGGTAGGTGTTGGGGAAAAGGTTCTTGGCCTGCATCAGAGCCCGAGCGTGGCCCGAGTGGAACAGGTCGAAGATGCCGTCTGCGTAGACTCTCACCGGACGATCCACTGAAAGTATTGAATTGAATGTATCTTTCATTCAAACAAAAATAGCCAAGTAAAGTGCGTGAACACGTGAAGGAGGTGGAATGGACTCTCCCTGACATGCCTCCATCGCAACGGGAAGCTCCACTGTCACTTGACTGTATACCGTTCAATTTCCTGTCCTCATACTTTCCATTTGGTCAATTTAAATGCTTCCTGATCTGAAGTCTGCGGAGACGTGATGGCAGGAAGTCGCCCAAAATGTGCTCACGAGTTGCAGGAAATCGACAATGTAGACGTGCCAAGATTTATTCATTCGGTATTTTGGATCGTGACATGAATTCTTACGAACAAATGGTTCTTGACATATATTTGACAGTAATATCCTTGAAATCAATTTCACATTAACCCTGCCGGTTCTGGATATTTTGGATATATTGCAGCCGATAGCTGAGTCTCGTTTCTGTTGAGGATGACGTCGCATCCCAGCGCCAAGGTCACCCTCTCGGTCTTGTCAAGCAGGAGGGCTCCTTACCCGGGGTGCCTCTGCGGGCCTGAGCGATGGTGAGCTTTTCATGAGGGGCGCGGCAATCGCAGCTGGTCTCTCTCGCGAAGATGGCAGGCTCAGTCAGCATCTGAGAAGAACAAACCAATGAGAGCTGGCTCATGACAGCGGCTGCCCCCTACTAGGCGGACCTGCTTTCAGTGTGTACTTAGGTCTCGATGTAGCACATCCAGACAGATACGTATTCTATATAAGTTTGTCACAACCTTCCATCAGCAGGAAATCGCAGGTCCCCTGGTGACCAGTTGAGAAGCACTGAGCCAAACAACCTGCCATCAGCCACATGAAAAGTTGAGCCCAGGCAAACCTTAACTTTGGCAACTCCTTCGGGCCGCGTTATGTTGCTTCATAAAAGCATGGCAACAGAGTGCAGGACATTCAGAGAGGTTGTCTCATCCCTTCAAAAATACTTTGTAAATAACGGTGCCTCCATTTATTGTTAATTTCCCCCCCATACTGGATCAAGGAAATGGAGTCACGTCCGGCCTTAGTCCAAGGTGACATCTGCCTTTGGCTCAAAGTCATATGGGGCCGCGACACCAAAACAAAATTGAAAATGGATGAATCAATTCCCCTCTTTTATCAATATTTGAGTTCAGAGTGTGCATCATAACTGGACAATGAATCCAATTCAATTCGTCGCAATGTTGTGGAATGCAATTTTCAAATTGCAAAGGCTACACTTTGAGAAAAAAAAACGTCATTTCAGTCAGCCAGTATGCTATTTGCAAGTTTTAGTCAGTTATTGTTAATTTCAATGTGTAGTTCATTTGCCATTTACTTTAGCATAAGTCTGACCTATAAGACAAAAACATCTATGTACAATGACATTCTGACATACTTAATTGTAATACTCATTAATGTATTCTTTGTATTTGTTAAAAAAAAATACATGGGAGGAGGATCTTGAAAAAAAATGTGTCGATCGCCATCGCAATATTGAGGAAAACATTGCAATTAGATTACAGTCGTTTTCAAAGCCATTCAGCCACGATCACAACAATTTGAATGCCTTTTGTTTGTTCAACAGGACTCGCAGGGTATGTGTTTACGCCGCGGGAACACCCACAATACCCATAATTCCTCAAGCCAAGTGTGAGCGGGGGCAGAGGGAGGGAGCTAACAAACATCGGGCACAGGACAGATGGTCAAGCTTAAGACTGACTGGCCATGAGCACAGGGGCCTATCAGGATGAGCAACTGAATGCCCTGGCACAAGTGAAGAATATCTGCCATAAGAAGGATTAAAGCCAAGGGGAGACATGCTGCGGGGGTGGGTGGGGGTGACACGCAAGGGAGGTCTGCAAGATGAAAACAGGTTGGTTAAGGATCTCGGGGCACTTTGTCCTCGCTGCGGTAATACCGTCTTTGGCTCATCATCCGACCCACCCACTGTTCAACATCTCCCACGGGCACATGTGATACGGGCATCTGTTTCATAACCAGTCCAGCACCCTTTTGTCTGCCTTTCCCCTCACACCCCCCACACACACTGTACATCATATGCAAACACAGACGGAAACAAAGAAGGCCTACCGTCCGAGGATGGGGGCAAGTGTGTTCAAGCTCCTCCATTATTCCCTGAAACTCATGAATGTGGCTCTGGTCTCTCCGTTAAGTGACTCAGCATCAGTGAGGTGATGCCTCTCTCCTCACCACTGTGTGTTTCTTTCTTCTTCGCTTGCTTCCACTCTCACATCCCTCCTCCCATCACCCAGTCTCTCTGTTGACCCCCCCACACACACCACCCCCACCCCACTCCATCACCGCATCCCATCCACTCTCATCTTATGCTGCACAGAGGAGCTGTATACAAAGAGACCCCACTTTGCAAACCTGCCCATGTACCGCACACCTTACAGCCAACAAGTCACAAAGATGACCATCAGGCAGTTACATTTATCTTTATGGCGAGGACCACCTCTCTGCGGGCGAAAATCTTGAATTAAAAAAAAAAAATCAGCCTCATATCACGATGTTTCTTTTTGGGACATGTGAGTTACTCGTTGTCAACAAAAGAGAGGATCTTGGATGTTTCGCTGATCATCGGCAGAGATCGCTCACCCAATCAGGGCGGCGAAAACAGAAAAGGAGGACACCGTACTCTTTGGAAACATTCTCAGACATCAGCGCATTTATGTTATCGTACTCTTCCTGAGTATCAAGCTGATAGACGTTATAAAATTTAGACCTTTAGAATTACAGACCGGTTCCAATTGACAGGCACACGCAACTCATTGACGAGACTCTTGGCGTCAAACTGGGAGATAAATAAGAACAAACTGTCACCATGCAAATATGCTATATAGGCTATGGATTTTTTTTTTTGACTGGACAATGAATCCAATTCAATTCGTCGCAATGTTGTGGAATGCAATTTTCAAATTGCAAAGGCTTTGACACTTTGAGAAAAAAAAACGTCATTTCACTCAGTCAGTATGCTATTTGCAAGTTTTAGTAAATTATTGTTAATTTCAATGTGTAGTTCATCTGCCATTTACTTTAGCATAAGTCTGACCTATAAGACAAAAACATCTATGTACAATGATATTCTGACATACTTAATTGTAATACTCATTCATGTATTCTTTGTATTTGTTAAAAAAAATACATGGGAGGAGGATCGTGTCGATTGCCATCACAATATTGAGGAAAACATTGCAATTAGATTACAGTCGTTTTCAAAGCCATTCAGCCACGATCACAACAATTTGAATGCCTTTTGTTTGTTCAACAGGACTCGCAGGGTATGTGTTTACGCCGCGGGAACACCCACAATACCCATAATTCCTCAAGCCAAGTGTGAGCGGGGGCAGAGGGAGGGAGCTAACAAACATCGGGCACAGGACAGATGGTCAAGCTTAAGACTGACTGGCCATGAGCACAGGGGCCTATCAGGATGAGCAACTGAATGCCCTGGCACAAGTGAAGAATATCTGCCATAAGAAGGATTAAAGCCAAGGGGAGACATGCTGCGGGGGTGGGTGGGGGTGACACGCAAGGGAGGTCTGCAAGATGAAAACAGGTTGGTTAAGGATCTCGGGGCACTTTGTCCTCGCTGCGGTAATACCGTCTTTGGCTCATCATCCGACCCACCCACTGTTCAACATCTCCCACGGGCACATGTGATACGGGCATCTGTTTCATAACCAGTCCAGCACCCTTTTGTCTGCCTTTCCCCTCACACCCCCCACACACACTGTACATCATATGCAAACACAGACGGAAACAAAGAAGGCCTACCGTCCGAGGATGGGGGCAAGTGTGTTCAAGCTCCTCCATTATTCCCTGAAACTCATGAATGTGGCTCTGGTCTCTCCGTTAAGTGACTCAGCATCAGTGAGGTGATGCCTCTCTCCTCACCACTGTGTGTTTCTTTCTTCTTCGCTTGCTTCCACTCTCACATCCCTCCTCCCATCACCCAGTCTCTCTGTTGACCCCCCCACACACACCACCCCCACCCCACTCCATCACCGCATCCCATCCACTCTCATCTTATGCTGCACAGAGGAGCTGTATACAAAGAGACCCCACTTTGCAAACCTGCCCATGTACCGCACACCTTACAGCCAACAAGTCACAAAGATGACCATCAGGCAGTTACATTTATCTTTATGGCGAGGACCACCTCTCTGCGGGCGAAAATCTTGAATTAAAAAAAAAAAATCAGCCTCATATCACGATGTTTCTTTTTGGGACATGTGAGTTACTCGTTGTCAACAAAAGAGAGGATCTTGGATGTTTCGCTGATCATCGGCAGAGATCGCTCACCCAATCAGGGCGGCGAAAACAGAAAAGGAGGACACCGTACTCTTTGGAAACATTCTCAGACATCAGCGCATTTATGTTATCGTACTCTTCCTGAGTATCAAGCTGATAGACGTTATAAAATTTAGACCTTTAGAATTACAGACCGGTTCCAATTGACAGGCACACGCAACTCATTGACGAGACTCTTGGCGTCAAACTGGGAGATAAATAAGAACAAACTGTCACCATGCAAATATGCTATATAGGCTATGGATTTTTTTTTTTGTTTTTGCTCTACATTTTTATAACTCTCACGCTGTCCTGACAATTTAGAATCACTTTTGTGACAACCTCAAACTACCGTTAGAAACTTAAAATACCTACACTGTATTTGTTTTATACATTTCGATATTTTCGCAATTCATATTTGCTTAAAATAGTATTGTTTGAATCAATGTTTTGAGCGAAGTGTGCGCAAATAAATTGGTCTTAGAAAGTAACCTTTGCAATTGCAAAACAGTGCTATTTTATTATTGTCTTGTTTCCCGATGGACCACTTGACCTTCCTCTGCACCGAGGACGTGTAGCATGCGAGGAAAATGGACCTACTCGGGTGCGTCGGTCTCCCATTTTTATTGTCGACTGTAATGGATCCGTGGCCCCAATCTGGGACACGAATCTTTTGTACCCTCCTAAATTCCGCCTCGTTACCATGGGAACGCGGTTAGTTGGGATACACACACTAAATATATGCAGGTCAATGACTCAAATCGTATGACTAAACATTTATTCATCATAAAATTACTACACACAACTTGTCTTTGGACGGTCCAATGTTCCCCTCATTTCACAACAGCTGCAGATGTAAAAAGCGCGTTATAGAAGAGTTAACATGAAATAACAAAATACGGTAATATAACAACACATAACATAAGACATATTCATGCAATCGGAACCGATATTCCTGCATACGGCCAAAATTTATCATTCAGGTCATTTACGCAGTTTTTTTTTCAATCGATCCCTGGTCAAATGACATAAGTTTTTGTTTGATATTGTTTTTATTCGTGGTGCCTTCGGTCAACGTTGAAGCGTCTCCCATCCGGAAAGACGTGTCGAGTCACCGGAAAAGGCTCATTGTTCTGGCGGAGACGTATCCTTGTCACTTTTGTACAACACTCCCACCATGTGGACAGTTGATCCGACGCCGTGTCGTCATCGTCGTTGTGACGTCACTTCCGCCACGTGACTTTTCCCGGGAAAAATAATTGGCGCGGACTTTTTTTGTTATTGTGTGCAGCTGCCGCTTATTCCTCGCGTAGAAGCTGTCAGCGAGCGCGCAAAACCGGACGAAAGTCATGGCTCCCGTCTCTACCACCGACAAAGACATAGACGCACCGGACGGAGGTGGGCTTATTTGAGTCCATGTTGTTTTTAAACTCGCGTTTGTCCGTCTGAAATGAGCTAACTAAGTAGCTAACGTAAATGCTATTGTCTCTGCGTATGCTAACTCAACGCTTCAGTATCAAGAGTTCAAATTATAATTATACAAATCCACAAAACGTTGTCACACCTGAAGAATGACAGTTTACATTATGGTCATTTACATGTGTCACTGGAGGAACAGTCATTATTTTGTAGGGTATAAGAATGACATTTAGGATATTTCGCCTGTTTTCAATTCTGACACGATCAATATGGAAGCGTTAAACTCCGTTTTGTACTGTGTATCTACTTGCCAGACGATGTGAGTGATTCATGTGGTCTTGCCAAGTCTCGCTCCAGACGGGAGAAGAGGGAGAAGGTTGGGAGGAAATCCGCTCTGGAGCAACTAAAAAAGGCCAAGCGAGGGGAGAAGATCAAATATGAGGTCAGTCCTGCATGATGTGCAAGTGCTGTACGATTTCAAAGTGATCTGGCTCGTAAAGCCTCAAACGCTAGCATGACTGTCGACGCATTGGACGTAAGCTTGAATTCAACTCATAGTTTGGGGATTAATGAATCTATTTTGCAGGTGGAGGAGTTTAGCAGTGTGTATGAGGAAGTGGATGAGGCACAGTACTCTAAGATCGTGCGGGACAGACAAGAGGATGACTGGATCGTTGATGATGGTGAGTGGTAAACATTGTCATAATTGTTCTGTGTTCGTTGTTTTAATTTCTCCTCCTCCCTCCCGTCCTTCAGATGGAGTAGGCTACGTGGAGGATGGCCGAGAGATTTTTGATGATGATTTGGATGATGATGTGGTGGAACACAAACAAGGTATGAGCAGTCACATCCTAAATACCATATTCAATCATTTTTTTCTGCAATTTATTGATATCTTGATATTATTTGCTTTGGCAGGAAATTCTACTGCCAAAGGAGCCACCGCAAAGAAACAAATAAAAAAAGCAACAGTGGCAAAGCCCAACAGCATTAAGAGCCTCTTCATGAACAGTAATGTCAAGAAACCAGCAGAGGTGCATGTTAGTTTCCTGTGAATAAAACCTCATACTGGTGCTCCAAAAACACAGAAAGGGGCGCGCGCGCACACACACAAACACATTTTTATATGCATTTACTGGCAGTTCTCAGTTTAAAACAGAGTTCCGTTCTTATGCCACCTTTGTCAGGGCACATAGTGTCCTCTTACCAACCTGTGTGAATGACACAAAATCAATCAAAATTGCAGTAAATAGTCGTCTGTCATGATATGTCTTGCACGCAGCCCTTTACATCGCCCCATAGAGTTTGAAATGTAAATATGTTTTCGCTCTGGCGGGGCAATTCCAAATTTTGAATTATCTTCTGGTGAAGCCAAATCAATAAAACCTAAGACCGTTTTATTGTACCAGTAATGTGTTTTTGTTTCATGCATCTTGCCTGTCCACTAATCCAAATTGTGACCTTTTGCAGAAAGATGTGGACTTGTCCAAGGATGATCTGTTGGGAGACATTTTACAAGACCTGCACTCAGAGGTTGGCAGAGACATAAACTTGCTTTATGTCTGCAAATGCTCCTGACTTGGTTCCTTTTAAGTCGCTGGTTGCCTTTCAAAATTCCTCTGCAAATATGACTTGCTCTTGCCCACCCAGAAAAGCACCATCTTGGCTCCTGTGGTAACATTGAAGAAAAAGAAATCTCTTGGATCCCCCCTGAATCCGTTCTCTGTCAAACCACAGATGTCCAGGGTAAGCTTTTTCAACATTTTTGGGGGGGGGGGGCAGCTGGGCTGAAAATAAATAAATATGAATGTTATATCTGTGACATCAGGAGCCAGCTCAGGCCAAAGTCATCCATCCACCACCACCTGACACCCAGAAGCCACCAGCCACTTTGTCTCCTCCCTCCAAAAGGGCTCCAGCAGTGGAGAAAGAGACAGAAACAGTTGAGAAGGAAGAGCAAGGTGATTCAAGTTGGCCGTGTTGACTGATTTACTCTTGTTCTGACACTTGGACTAACTTTAGTGATCATGTGGGGTTTTTTTTGTTTTCGCCCCAGTGGCTGTAGATCTGGCGTTCGACACTATGGACTTTGATGAGCCGATGGAAGTCGGACCTGAGGAGCCTCCAGAGCCTCAAGTCAGAGAAGAGCCTCCGTCTGAATCTAAAACAGCCCTCGTGGCACCCGCCAAAAAGGAGCCTCAGGATGCCACCCTCCTGTGAGTCTTTACATCCTCTTCTCCTTTCTCTTTTTTTTGCACACGAATCATCCTGACAACCCGTATCCCGTTTTTGCACTTTTTTTTTGTTTTAGAAGCAAACCAACATATTACTGTGGTATAGAAATTAAATAGATTGCTATTGCTATTGGTGGGGGCGATGCAACCAAGTCAGATCTTGTTTCTTCTCGTGATCTCACTGCATTTTGTGCATTTTGCATGGGATTGTTATGATACGTTGTGATGTGTGTGGTTCTGGATGCAGCAAGACAGGAGGTTTCTGGGGGCTCGATGATGGAGAGGGTGCAGTCAGCGAGGCTCCTGCAGAGGTGCAGGTGGACTCACGCAAGCTGCCATTGGTGGAAGGTCCAGATGGCGAGCGGGTTTTCCGATTCTATTGGCTGGACGCTTTCGAAGACCCTTACATTCAACCTGGTATGGCAACATATTACATCCTCTGACAAATCGTTTGTATATTCTTCAAGCGCAACCTCCTCCTGTTTTTGTCACGCAGGCGTGGTATACCTGTTTGGGAAGGTGTGGATAGAGTCGGCCCAGACTCATACAAGCTGCTGCGTCTCGATCAGGAACCTAGAACGCACCATGTACATCCTGCCACGTGAATATGTATGTTGCAAACTGCAGCCGCAAGAATGTGAACATTATGATGTTGATATAAGTAGGATGCTCATGAAAACAATTTAAAACATTCAATTCTTAAGCCCTAATGTTTTCTCTCCACAGAAAGTAAACCCCAAGACGGGGGAGGTGTCTGATACGCCCGTTGGAATGATGGACATCTACCAGGAGTTCAGTGAACTTTCTGACAAGTTCAAGATCATGAAGTTCAAGTCCAAGGTACTCCTCCCTCGATCACCTTATAGCACAGCCCGTATATTTTTTTTGTGTCAAATCTCACCCTTGTTTTGGCTTCAGAAAGTGGAGAAAAACTATGCCTTTGAAATTCCTGACGTGCCCACGCAAAGCGAGTACCTGGAAGTCCGCTATTCAGTGAGTAAATGCTCATGTGGCAGCCCCCCGCTTTCCCCCCTTTTTTTTCTTCTGATGAAAACATGAATCGTACTTGTTTTTGAAGGCCGAGTTCCCTGCTCTGCCGCCTGACCTTAAGGGGGCAACATTTTCCCACATTTTTGGAACCAACACTTCCAGCTTGGAACAGTTCCTCCTCAGTCGGAAGATAAAAGGGCCATGCTGGCTGGACGTGAAGACACCACGTGAGAGGCGATTTTTTTTTTAAACTAAAATAAAGTGGTACAGCACTGTCTATTTCAAATAGTTCTCAATAAAATATATAGACAGACAAATATTTTTGTTTGCGCGCGATAGAGCTGCTCAGTCAGGCTGTCAGCTGGTGCAAAGTCGAGGCTCTTGTCCCGAAGAGTGATCTGGTCACCGTGGTGAAAGACTTGGCACCGCCACCCGTCACGGTGATGTCTATCAGCCTCAAGACAGTCCAGAACCCCAAGACTCATCACAATGAGGTCAGAGCTGACTGGTTGATTTCTTTTGGAGGACTTTTGGCCATTTTTCTTCATTTTTTTCTTTCAATGGAGGACTGTTCTCTCATTGTGCAGATCGTGTCCCTGGCAGCACTTGTCCACCATCGCTTCCACATGGACAAACCTCCTCCTCAGCCGCCTTATCAAACTCATTTTTGTGGTGAGCTCCTGAGACTTCTTTTGTTCATCACACACTGCTAAGATGTGAACCAACCGGAGCTCATAAAATGCCACATTTTGTCTTTCAGTGGTGACTAAACCTTCTGACTGTATCTTCCCTTACGATTTCAAGGATGCACTGAGAAAGAAGGTGAGCTGGCCCTTTTTTACCTCCCTGAGAAAATTGTGTGTAGTTTTGATTCAACAAAAATTGGGTTTTTTATTGCGTCGAGAGCATGAAGATGCAGTTTTAATAGAAAATGATGGCGATTCCAGGGTCATGTCATGTCATAATGTACTGCTGATGACTTTGGGATGGAGGAGGTGGACTCTGGACTGTTCGCCAGCCAAAAGGGGACACATAGAAAAACGACCATGCATCCATTCCTACCGCAGTGTACCAGAATGAGATTTTGTATAAGAACGGTGCCAATTAAATCTTACTTCAGAAGGATAATAATGTTCCGTTTTGATGAATGGATATGAATTGAGTTGTATGATGCCCTCCCTTGATGTTCTGGACCAACATACTGAAGATGCCTTGCTCTTGTAGAATGCTAAAGTGGAGATAGCCACGACGGAAAGAACTCTACTTGGCTTCTTCCTGGCCAAGATGCAGAAAATTGATCCTGATGTACTTGTGGTGAGACTTTATATATATATTTTTTCTCCCATCCACGGTATGTTTACTTGTTTGGTTAAAGACTTTCTGCTTCTTCCTTTAAGGGCCATGACATTTTTGGCTTTGACCTTGAAGTGCTTCTGCAAAGAATTAACTACTGCAAAGTTCCGCACTGGTCCAAGATAGGACGACTCAGGAGGGCTAACATGCCTAAATTAGGGGTGAGCTTGATCAAGCCATCGGACAAGTGCCGTGCCATCTTGCGTTATGACTAACGGCCGTTTGCTTGCAGGGCCGAGGCGCCTTTGCAGAGAAGAGCGCCACCTGTGGCCGTCTCGTGTGCGACACAGAGATCTCTGCAAAGGAGTTGATTCGCTGCAAGAGTTACCATCTGACTGAGTTGGCCGCGCAGGTGCTGAAGACAGAGCGAGTCACCGTCCCAGAAGAGAGCATCCGAAATCTTTACAGGTGTCTCTCCTGTCATTAAGACCATGTCCATCATTGTTTTTTTTTAACGTCGTCACACCTGCACTGTTTGGTCCACTTTGAACAGACCAGGCTCTGTTTCCCACATTGATTGGTCCGGACCATTTATCCAAGTGTGAATAAAACACAAACGAATCCCGGTGCGGATCAAACAAGCGGAAATGATTTCTGTAGATAGATAACCACGTTGTGGACGTCAGCTTCTTTATAGCTCGCGTGACACATCATTATTATTTTTATTTATGTGGCTGTCTGCACGCCAGTGATTCTCCTCGTCTGCTCTACCTGCTGGAGCTGACGTGGACCGACGCCAAGCTGATCCTCCAAATGATGTGCGAGCTCAACGTGCTGCCACTCGCCCTGCAGATCACCAACATTGCCGGCAACATCATGGTAACGTGAGATTCCACTGCGCGCTCACGCTGCAAAGTTGTCTTTTAATAGTCCAGCTTAATCATCTTCCCCACAGTCTCGTACTCTGATGGGCGGTCGGGCCGAAAGAAACGAGTACCTGTTACTTCACGCCTTCCATGACAAGAACTACATCGTGCCGGACAAACCGTCCTTTAGGAAAATTCAGATGGACACGGTAAGACCTCAAACACGCCAGCAGCTGTCGCTTTCTTGCTATCAATTTGTTTGCATGACTGCGGAAAATATGACCGCTTTTTACCACATGTCCCAGCATGAAGGAGATGATGATGTCGATACTGGCAAAGGGAAGCGTAAGAAGAAGGCTGCCTATGCAGGAGGGCTGGTGCTTGATCCTAAAGTTGGTACGTTTGGTTTGCATCATTCTGTCCTCCTTTATATTTATCCATTTATTGAGTTAATTAAAAGAAAAAAAATCCCTGCTTCGGTCTGCAGGTTTCTACGACAAGTTTGTGCTGCTGCTCGACTTCAACAGCCTGTATCCTTCCATCATACAAGAGTTTAACATCTGCTTCACCACCGTGCAACGGGAGGCCTCCAGCAAGCAAAAGAGGAATCAGGTGCGGGTGGGTGTGTGTATGTGTGGGTGTGGGGTGGGACACCCACGGGTGCTCATGTGTCACTGTGGCTTTTATCTTTACATTCGCTCTTCTGTTGTTGAAGCACTTTGGTGTTAAAACGTCGTCGTGTTGTTTCTATGGCAACAGGAGGATGAGCCCGAAGAGATCCCAGAGATTCCAGATAGTGACCTGGAAATGGGAATCTTGCCCAAAGAGATCAGGAAGCTGGTAGAACGACGCAAGAATGTTAAACAGCTAATGAAACAACAGGACATCAACTCGGACCTTTACCTGCAGGTACACACAGACGCAAACTTGAGCACACTCCTCCCAGGTGACCAAATGCTTGTCAAAGTTAAACCCCGTCAATTTGCGTTTCTCAGTATGACATCCGTCAGAAGGCGTTGAAGCTAACGGCCAACAGCATGTACGGCTGCTTGGGATTTAGCTACAGTCGCTTTTATGCCAAACCGCTGGCTGCCCTGGTCACCCACAAGGGCAGGGAGGTGAGTGCAGCGCACACACAGGAAGGAACACACTCCAATCAATTTGACGCCAGCTAACACTATTTTACTGAACACATAATATCATCCACAAGGGGGCGTTGCTGCATCATATTTGTTTGGCGACCACCCCTGCCTGCCTTCCCACTTTTTTCATTAACCCCTCTTTTGCGTGTTTAAATCTAATTCCCCAAATAAATATTTGTCTTCTCTCATGTAATGTATTATATTTCAACCATGGAACTGCACACAAAAATATCCCCGTTAAATCTGATGTAATGACTTCCTTCGACACTTCCTAATGGAGAAACATGGATGTGCACACGCCAAGTAAAGAGGTGCGAAGAGATATGTCCAGCATGACATAAACAGCTAAACGCGATATCATAATTGAACTCTGCACGCGCGCACACACACACACACGCACACACACACACTTGCCACATCCAATAGAGAACATCCTCATGGAGGCGTCAGGCGCTGCCTTGAGTTAGTCGTTCATTAAATTCTCGTTATGCACATATTGTGTTCTTAATGGAAGGCGGGGCCATAAATCCGTGTGTTCTTGTTGCTTTGTCAGCCCATTTGTTCCTGCAGTCACATAGCAACACAGTAACGTTTGTGTGTGATTGCCTTCATGCAGGTGGGATTCTTCTTTGTCGCGAGTTCATGGGCAGCGCACAACAACTTTTATTACTTTTTCGTCTTTTGCTGTCGCATGAGCCACAAAGCGATGCCGCAGTTTCCTTTTTTAATTAAGACTTTCTGCTATCTCAGATGACTTCTGTAAATCATTTTTATGTATTTATTTTACATTAATGTTATTGCAGTGGCAAGGCAAAATAATTTATTTTAAAAAAATCAAAGCAGTGGTGATTCCTTATATTGTTTGTGTTTTTCCAAACATAAATAAGGTTCCGGAATAATAAGCAGTATAGTTTAGAGTCATGAACATTTTAACAATACTCATCCCTAAATCTGACGGTGAAACTGATCCAAATAAACAACTTTCTAACCCGCGTTCAAGTTGTACAGCTAGATGAAGCTAAGTGAGCAGAACTCAGGCTGGACGTCTGTTTGACCAAATGAAAGTCATTTTCATTGCGTTTTCTTGGAGCCCTGAAATCACATAGCTGTCAGCCAAGCACTTCTCAGTTTCCGACTGCAGCCAGACAGAAAGGCCAGCTGGCATTTATAAGCGGCATCCCGATGTATTTGTGGCTAATTCCGTTTGCACCTCCGCCCCCGTTTTAATCATCGCATTTGCACTTTCCTTTGGTATTGTGATTTAGGAGCCCTTTTTATTTTTGTATTTGTAACACAGACGCACCTCCATCTACACGCAAATCCAACCCGCCCTCCTCTCCCCCGTAGTACTTTTTGGCGGGGAACGCGCTCCGTGTATTCGTTGATTGGCTCTTGTCTTTCTCACTCGTTTTAAATTGGGCCCCGATGTGGCGGGTCGAGTCAGGTCGAAGGTTGCAGGTTTCAAAGACAAGGAGGGAGCGAGTCAAAAAAGAGATGACTCCTATCAATTGTGCCAAGCCAAATTTTTGGTTTCATCTATTTGTCGTACATATGTCTAAATTTTTGGGTATGTTCACAAATGTGTGTGTGTGTGTGTGTGTGTGTGTGGTATATTTTGCGGATTTGTGTGCTCAAGTGCTACTGCCCGAACTCTGCCCTTTGTCGGCGGACCATTTGTTGTGGGCCAACTCTGTCCTGGTATGTGTGGGTATTAAGGAGTGAGCGGAGGTTGGGGGGCAGTGGTATTAAGAGGAAGGTGAAGGTTTAGGATTACACGGCCGTCGATCTGCCACAGATTGATGTCCCGCTCAACCCCTCGCCGTTATTTTGGGTCCTTTTGTATGTTTGCCAGAGAAGTGTCGGTCCCAGAGGAAGAGTGACATGAAACATGCACAACAAGCAGTTATAATTGTCTGCTAAATGCATTTGTCACACTCGGAAGGCATTTATTGTCCGATGAGTACTGTCCGGCTGATCCATGATCTCATGCTTGAAATGACGTAGAAGTCGATATATATACTCCGTGTGTGTGTGTGAAAGAGGAATCAGGTGCGGGTGGGTGTGTGTATGTGTGGGTGTGGGGTGGGACACCCACGGGTGCTCATGTGTCACTGTGGCTTTTATCTTTACATTCGCTCTTCTGTTGTTGAAGCACTTTGGTGTTAAAACGTCGTCGTGTTGTTTCTATGGCAACAGGAGGATGAGCCCGAAGAGATCCCAGAGATTCCAGATAGTGACCTGGAAATGGGAATCTTGCCCAAAGAGATCAGGAAGCTGGTAGAACGACGCAAGAATGTTAAACAGCTAATGAAACAACAGGACATCAACTCGGACCTTTACCTGCAGGTACACACAGACGCAAACTTGAGCACACTCCTCCCAGGTGACCAAATGCTTGTCAAAGTTAAACCCCGTCAATTTGCGTTTCTCAGTATGACATCCGTCAGAAGGCGTTGAAGCTAACGGCCAACAGCATGTACGGCTGCTTGGGATTTAGCTACAGTCGCTTTTATGCCAAACCGCTGGCTGCCCTGGTCACCCACAAGGGCAGGGAGGTGAGTGCAGCGCACACACAGGAAGGAACACACTCCAATCAATTTGACGCCAGCTAACACTATTTTACTGAACACATAATATCATCCACAAGGGGGCGTTGCTGCATCATATTTGTTTGGCGACCACCCCTGCCTGCCTTCCCACTTTTTTCATTAACCCCTCTTTTGCGTGTTTAAATCTAATTCCCCAAATAAATATTTGTCTTCTCTCATGTAATGTATTATATTTCAACCATGGAACTGCACACAAAAATATCCCCGTTAAATCTGATGTAATGACTTCCTTCGACACTTCCTAATGGAGAAACATGGATGTGCACACGCCAAGTAAAGAGGTGCGAAGAGATATGTCCAGCATGACATAAACAGCTAAACGCGATATCATAATTGAACTCTGCACGCGCGCACACACACACACACGCACACACACACACTTGCCACATCCAATAGAGAACATCCTCATGGAGGCGTCAGGCGCTGCCTTGAGTTAGTCGTTCATTAAATTCTCGTTATGCACATATTGTGTTCTTAATGGAAGGCGGGGCCATAAATCCGTGTGTTCTTGTTGCTTTGTCAGCCCATTTGTTCCTGCAGTCACATAGCAACACAGTAACGTTTGTGTGTGATTGCCTTCATGCAGGTGGGATTCTTCTTTGTCGCGAGTTCATGGGCAGCGCACAACAACTTTTATTACTTTTTCGTCTTTTGCTGTCGCATGAGCCACAAAGCGATGCCGCAGTTTCCTTTTTTAATTAAGATTTTCTGCTATCTCAGATGACTTCTGTAAATCATTTTTATGTATTTATTTTACATTAATGTTATTGCAGTGGCAAGGCAAAATAATTTATTTTAAAAAAATCAAAGCAGTGGTGATTCCTTATATTGTTTGTGTTTTTCCAAACATAAATAAGGTTCCGGAATAATAAGCAGTATAGTTTAGAGTCATGAACATTTTAACAATACTCATCCCTAAATCTGACGGTGAAACTGATCCAAATAAACAACTTTCTAACCCGCGTTCAAGTTGTACAGCTAGATGAAGCTAAGTGAGCAGAACTCAGGCTGGACGTCTGTTTGACCAAATGAAAGTCATTTTCACTGCGTTTTCTTGGAGCCCTGAAATCACATAGCTGTCAGCCAAGCACTTCTCAGTTTCCGACTGCAGCCAGACAGAAAGGCCAGCTGGCATTTATAAGCGGCATCCCGATGTATTTGTGGCTAATGCCGTTTGCACCTCCGCCCCCGTTTTAATCATCGCATTTGCACTTTCCTTTGGTATTGTGATTTAGGAGCCCTTTTTATTTTTGTATTTGTAACACAGACGCACCTCCATCTACACGCAAATCCAACCCGCCCTCCTCTCCCCCGTAGTACTTTTTGGCGGGGAACGCGCTCCGCGTATTCGTTGATTGGCTCTTGTCTTTCTCACTCGTTTTAAATTGGGCCCCGATGTGGCGGGTCGAGTCAGGTCGAAGGTTGCAGGTTTCAAAGACAAGGAGGGAGCGAGTCAAAAAAGAGATGACTCCTATCAATTGTGCCAAGCCAAATTTTTGGTTTCATCTATTTGTCGTACATATGTCTAAATTTTTGGGTATGTTCACAAATGTGTGTGTGTGTGTGTGTGTGTGTGTGGTATATTTTGCGGATTTGTGTGCTCAAGTGCTACTGCCCGAACTCTGCCCTTTGTCGGCGGACCATTTGTTGTGGGCCAACTCTGTCCTGGTATGTGTGGGTATTAAGGAGTGAGCGGAGGTTGGGGGGCAGTGGTATTAAGAGGAAGGTGAAGGTTTAGGATTACACGGCCGTCGATCTGCCACAGATTGATGTCCCGCTCAACCCCTCGCCGTTATTTTGGGTCCTTTTGTATGTTTGCCAGAGAAGTGTCGGTCCCAGAGGAAGAGTGACATGAAACATGCACAACAAGCAGTTATAATTGTCTGCTAAATGCATTTGTCACACTCGGAAGGCATTTATTGTCCGATGAGTACTGTCCGGCTGATCCATGATCTCATGCTTGAAATGACGTAGAAGTCGATATATATACTCCGTGTGTGTGTGTGTGGGGTGTGGGGGTGTCAAATTGGAAAAAAAAATAAAGACACGATCCAGATATCAGCGGTATGGAAGACTCCAGGATCGATCAGCTTGCTGGTGTTCATTTTCTGTCGTGGTGTTCATGTTGTTACTTGCTGCAAATTGAGTGTCTGTGAGCAGTTAAGGGCACCACAAAACTGAGCACTTGACTGTCTTTTATTATGCTGTTCATTCGTCTTTTTTTTTTTTTTTTTTTGTAGCTTTCGTGCTACAGATTATAAAAAGTAACAGTATGTCATCCTAATCAAGTGATGTAAACAACGCAGTGAGCTGGAAGCCCGCTGATTGTTTTGGAATGCATATTGGTTTGACCTTTGACATTTTGCCAGCAAATCTGACAACCGTTAGCAGGTGCGTGCGTGCGTGTGTGTTTGTGTTGGGTGCAGGATGACTCCCTAAAAGCCATGTAATTGAGTCTCTGTCCTTGTGTTTAAAAACAGACTGACAGGAGCTCGTAGTTGACATTATTGGATGGCATGCACGGTGAGAGATAGATGCGAGCTTGGGTAACAGAGGCCAGGGTGCCGAGAGGTTAGAGTGTCGTCAAGGTTAAACCCACCCCGTGTGAATGTGTGTGCTTGTAATCAAGTCAAGGTAAATATTACTGCCCCCGCCGTCCCTTCAGTTTTGGGATCATTCCTCCTGTCTCGCGATTCACAAATCATTTCCCCGAATTAGATACAGGAATCCCGCAACCATCCGATCATGTATCGTCGTGTGTGTGTGTGTGTGTGTGTGTGTGTGTGTGTGTGTGTGTGTGTGTGTGTGTGTGTGTGTGTGTGTTTGTTTTTTCACGGTGG